GAGTCTGAAAATTTCTCGGGAAAATTTGCGTGACTTTCCTCGAAAATACACGTTTTATTCGGAGAAATTTGGCAACTCTCGAATGTTCATGCGGCTTTCTTCCTCAGCACGGCAGAAGTCTGCCATGCTGAGGAAGAACGCGGTTTGAACATTCGGGAGTTGCCAAATTTCTCCAAATAAAACGTGTATTTTCGAGGAAAGTCACGCAAATTTTCCATGAAATTGTTGGATTTGTTAGATCAAGTTGCGAGCAAAATTATCTGAAAAGTTCGAAAAAAATAGCTCAAAATTTTTCCATTAAATTCGGTTTTTAGCAAAGGCAATCCGGCAACGTCTAAAGGCTCATTCGGCGTTTTTCCTTAGCATGGCAGAATTTTTTTCTGGTTGCCAGGAAAATTCACAAAAAAATTACAGAGGGTAGGATGCAAGCGTTAAAGCCTTACCTACCTACGTAAGTATACCCACGATAAATCGTCTGAACAAGTATCGTAACTTTGTCGTGCACAAGATTCCTTTACTTTCAAATCACAAATTCAAGAAGGATAAGGTAGAAACCCCGAAAAGGATAATGTTTCAGTAGCTCGTGCACTAATAAAGCCCTCAGGGAACTTCTTTTGACAGGGCGACGGAGCTCGGGGACATTTTCAACATTGACGTGGCGTGCTTTGCGGTATATAGATTTATCTGCTATTTAATCTGTGGAAAAGGATCGATAAACAGGGTGTTCGCAACGAAGGCCTTAATAATCGATTCTTTACCATAGCTCCAGATGGGGAAATATCGATAATCGGTCACTCACGCCTTGCTACTGTTTTCCAATCGAGGCACGTGAAAAGGGGTTCAAGATGACAAATCGTCGCCCCTCTGACGTAAGGGCGTATCTCTATTTCCTCGTGAGCCCTGTTTTACATATGAATCCATGCTCTCCGGGGCTCATGTGAAAATCGAGATACGCCCTTATGCCAGAGGAGCGACGAAATACTCGTAAGGATATTAAGCTTCCACTGGAGAAAGGGACCGTTGGCATTGGCGGATCCAGCAAATTGGCAACACTGATTTTCTCCATTAACCTATGGAAATGTATCGATTCTTGGGGGGGGGGGGGGCAGATGCTCGACAAGAATCGATCATTTAGCATAGGTTTAAATGGAGGAAATCCGGTGTTGCCAAACTGCTGGATCCGCCTCTGACCGTTGATAAAACGGAACTTTCCAACTTTTGAGGGAACTCCATTATTTCAACGAATTGTATGAATTATATTGGGGGCCCTTCTCATTTAGCAGTGATTGTGATAGGTTGCGATATGCTCGGAAAATGTTATCGACGTCGATTTATTGCAACATAATAGGATAAAAAAATTGCGATAAATTGCATTTCATCGCATAAACTTGCAATAAAATCGCGATGTTCTCGTTGGAAATTTATCGCAATATTGTCAAACAAAAAATCGCCATAAATTGAGATAAAATTTCGATTCTCTCGAACGCGATTTTTTTTAGATAAAATTGCGATCAGATTGAGGATAATCGCTCAGTTGATGATCCTAGTGATTTTATCGCCAAAAAATTGTAAAAAATAGCATCTTAATTTCATAATATCACGATTTTTCCGTTGAAAAACGCTACTTGGGATTGAATATTACATGGTTGAACGCTTAAAAATTCTTATTGTTGGCGTTGCAGCCTTTCGCTGTTAAGTTCCGAGGCTATCGAGAAAAAAGTAACATGAACTGGATGTAAATAATTAATATATTTGCCGACTAACGGAGCAATTATGAAGGTCGCTCTGAGGAATCCTCACATTTAAGACGAACAACAAAGAATTAAAAAGAGCTTAGCTTATCGATACAATGTCTTCATTGGACGTATTTCTGCCAAACAGAACTATGTGCATTATGACGTGAACCCTATTATGCATTTATCCTTATGAATCTCAGGGCTCATGTCTTAATGCACATAGTTCTGTTTGGCAGAAATACGTTCAATTAAAGTTATCAGTCTCAATTTTCCCCTAAATGCGCGATAATCCCATCACTCTACCAATCTATCAAAGTTTTCACCGCCTTTAACTTAGTTGGACACTAATCCTAATTTCACTTAAGTGCCGGCGCCAATGCCACGACTGCGACTGTTAAGGGTCGCCTCCATTGTCAAGCTCGCGACGGTATCACCGTGTGTTTCTCTGCTGTTACAGCAAGCGCATGTTGATCTTTTTTTAGTATCGCCAGATGGCTCCAATCTCCGTGCGCCAAACATTGATAAAATTAGATTAATCATAGTTTACAAAGGGTTTAATTAGAGTTCAGCTCGATGTGTAATCTCGAGTAGTCATCGGCTGGAACATACGCCGCGACAACTACCAACTAACTCCCTCCTCCTTCACGCAATTAAATCCCACCAGTTATGTTTGATGGCTCGTTCGCAAGTTAACGGTGCGACCAGAGAGAGACCTATCTCAATCACTCTTGCATCCTTTCAAAATTTCTGCTCAAATCACACGGAACAAAATGGACTGATGATTTGACAATTAAATTGTTAAAAAATATGTCCGATATGTTTCAAATGTACATTTTACAAAAGTAAAAAAGGTACCTAATTTGACTACGGGGGTGGTTATAGAAGCAAATTTTAATTTCTCGCTCCCCTTGCGGATAGAGAAAGTAAAGTCATTTTATTGTGAACTCTACATTGAAACATCTTGAACACTTTTTTTAACTGCAAAATTGTTAAGTCAGCAATTTCATTTTTTTCCGTGATTTTTTTCAAGAGAAACAACAAATATTCGTGCCAGGAGCTCACTAGAGAGATATGAGCGGCGAGGTACCTCTATCCCTCGGCTTTATCTGTGAAGCCCTGAGGAAGCGTTGTCGTTTTTGTTTCAAATTCCGTGGATTTATGAGGATTGCTCTCTAAAAATGTGGCACTTAAATGTCAAAATTAGTTTTCCTTAAGAAAAAAAGGAAGCAAAAAAAAAACCCAACAAAGGACGACCCATCAAGATATGTTAAAGGAAATCCTTCCTATCATGCTCAGATACCTAAATTTTGCGATTCAGAGGTCTGGTGACGTAGCAATACATTTCTATAATGAAATACTCAAAACATTTACAATGTCGCGATAAAACTCAGAAACGGTTACCTAAATAACTTCATCGACACAACAGACAACGTTGGAATTAAGTTTGTGTTGCATGCGACAGATACTAAACGAATTTCATTATGACAGCTGAATGCAACTATTCGGGCTCCATGGATGTCCGTGTTGCATACTCACGAAAGTGAAGGCGTTTTGACTTCAGACACCAACCGCCGCACTAGCGGCGCTCAAAGAGAGGAGCCGGACAAAATTTGGAAACATTAAAAGCTCATATCGATGTTAGTGCGGAACGTAGAACTTTAAGACAAAGTTGCATTAATTTTCTCGTAAAATTTCCCTCAAGAAACACCTGCTCATACAATGAATAATGTGAAAAAATTAATAAAAAAACTTGCAGTTTTCGTGGAATATTGCATACCCAGATCTCTGAAAGGCTCTTTTCATTATTGCGTGCAGCGAAAGCTTTATCACGGGATCTGAAAATGAAAGAATGTCTTCAGTTCGCCATTTATACTTCAAAGACATCTTTAAGGCATGAACATTTTTTGAATGCTCAGCATACAGCGATATCAAAATTGAAGCGTAAAAGGCACTTGCCTCCTACGCCTGTATGCTACTATTAGTGCTTAGCAGTTATCTTTGTAGAAAACGCAGAACTGAAAGCGCTCTGGCGTTTTGGCGTCCAGCGGCGTGCCACGAGTAAGTGACGAGTGCCTGGACAGTGAAAACGCCTCCTATTCTGTGAGTAGGCAACACGGACATCCATGGAGCCCGAATAGTTGCATCCAGGAGTTAAAATAGAATTTATATAATGTTCGTCCCATTAAGTACTAACTACGGACGCCCCGCTTGTTTCTCTGACTCCGTAACTTAATGCCGGCGTTGTCCATTGCGCCGATTAAGTAAATTATCATTGATTTTCATCACGACATTGTCAATTTTCTGAATAATGCTTTGATTTGTTTAACTACATGTGACGTTGCCGTCTTAAAATGTGGGTTGCGGCCCGTAACTCCTCTGAGCTAAGAACGCCGAATGTGATGAAGTCGTTTCATGGTCACTTCAGGATAATAATGAGCGAGCATCTCAACATATTTGTATTTTTTTCTTCTGGAGAGTTGGAAAAAAGTACGGTCTGGAATTTAAATCAGCCTTCGGTTAATTTAAAACCCGACGTGGCAAGATGAAATGCTTGTAGAAAATGTCTCACGTTACCGATTGATTCAGAATCATCGAATAGGAGCCTGAGAAGACTGAGTTTATGAAAAACGAATCAATGATGGAGTGTTTTAAGGGAGCCGGCCCAAAGTTCTCGAATAAAATCCTAGGTAGGTTATATCAAAACAAAAATCGAATGATCTGGTGTCCAGATTCTATGCCGTGCGTATTCCCCCCTCCCCTCCGTGAGACTTTGATTCCTACCAAAGCCTCATCAAGGTAAATTGAGCCTTTACTGCGTCTGGATTATTTTTCCCAAAAAAAAAGAGTTCCAAATTCCCTTGATTGCAGCTCCCTTCTGTCCCTTCATAGACTGACAACATTCGCGGGGGAAAAATATTTGACAGGAAATTAAGATGCCTATAGAGGAGAAAAATAGACTAAAGTTTCAACAGAAAAAACCAAGTCGTGTCATGTTGAAAATTGAGGAAAATGAGTTTGGAGTTTTTTCTGCGATAAAATCTTCTTATACTTTTAAGGTCACGTATCCAGACACTAATTTTTTTTTTATCGGAGTTGTAATTTTTTGGAAGAAGCTAGTCGCAGTATCATTAGGACACAATATCACCTATAGATTTTTTTTGTTTTTTGTTTTTTTCCGATTTTGGAAACGAATGGGTCCTTTTAGGCTGAAACAACAGATATTCCAGTCCAAATAATAGATTGCAATCTTTTAAATATACTTACGTTGACTCAGTCGGAAAACAAATCGTTGATGGCTATCACACACGTAGCTGAGAGGATACAAGAGTGTGCAGAGGATGCTTCTTTATTCGAAGAGATAACAGTCTTCAAAGTTCCTTTGCCAGCGAAGTCAATGACTGACCTACCACAATAACCTCGAATCACGCAAAAATTCATACCACAACTTTCAGGAATAGTTTAATTTTTAACCTCGGAAAATATTTCAAACGATGTCAAATCAGTCAGTACTTGAATCGATGTTTACAGAAATGAGAGGTGTCAAGTTAGAAATTCGCCGAATCGAAAATTCAGCGGACACGTGGGTAAACTTCGCGGGTGACTTTTGAAGCGGCATGGAACTCCGCTTCGGAGGAGTATTGGTCGTCGACTGAACGACACGAGTTTTATCACTCGAGGATGCGGCGCCAGAGAAAGAAGGAGAGGGTTATTAAGTTCGCATCTAATGTGCGGCGTAAGTTCACTCCCTTCTGAACAGGTGTTGTCAGATTATAGCGTAAGTTACTCTATCAGATTTTGTTCACCGTATTTACAGACATCTTGCCCCAGTAAATAGTCATAGTAGCAGTAGTCATTCGGGCAGTAAATCCTAATTTTAAACGATAAAAAAAATGAAGTCCATGTTTGAGAAGGGTAGGCAATTTACAATGCAATGAAAAATTGCAACTTGTTTCAATTTTATTACAACCAATCTCAATAACAGGAGCCCCTTCAATTAGTGAATAGGCAACATATACGACACTCCGGTTTACTAGCAATATAATTTTTCCATTCGATTGTATTTTATTGCAACCTGCGCTGCTCTGCCGTACTAACAAGGAACGCCGCATGAGCCTTCAGACATTTCCAAAGTTCTTTTGAAAAATCACGAATTTTTGGACAAATTTTTAAATGCTTTTCTTCCGATTTTTCAGAGAATTTGGTCAGAAATTTGATCTAAAATTGGTGCAAATTTTTAGGTGAAATTTTTAAAATTTTCTTCAAAAATAGATATTCACTGAGAGGAAATTTGACAACGCCTGAAGGGTCATACGACGTTCTTCGTCAGCACCGCAGAGTAGAGCAGGTTGCAATAAAGTGCAATCAAATGGAAAAAATATTGTTATTAAACCGGAGTGTTGTATATGTTGCCTATTCACTAATTGAAGGGGCTCCTGATATTGAGATTGCTTGTAAATGAATTGAAGCAAGTCGCAATTTTATATTGCATAGTAAATTGCCTACCCTTCTCAAACATGGCCTTCATTTTTTTGATCGTTTAATGAAAATATTGCAATTTTATAGTAAAGAATTTAAATTTTATTTCATTTAATAAATTGAAAAACTATCGCAATATTTTCGTTCCACTGCGCTACTAAAGTTTGAGGACCCTGTTCTGAGGCTTTGATAAATTAATAATCGGAAGATTTTGTACCTCAGTTCTAATAAAGAACAAAAGGGCTGTGGAAAAAATTGCAACCTTTAAAAAGCACATAAATACACCAATGAGTGAAGAAGACGAAGCAAATTGCAATTACAAATCTTAATAACACGAGTTGCGTCAAAAAGTACACCGAAAAAAAGGATGGTGGCCTAACATTCTGGATGTAACAAAAGTGTGCGAGAACTCACAAAATTTGAATTAACCGCCACAGCAATTAGTTTTACATCTTGACATTGCTACATAGTAACTGCTGTAGCGGTCAATTCAGCGTTTTGTGAGTTGTCGCACACTTTTTTACATCCAGAATGAAGTCAGTACCCTTTTTTTCTCGGTGTAGGTATGTCCTAAAATAATTTCTCACTCGTCGAGAGAAATACGGAGCGCTTACTTACCCGTGCAATTTAAAAACCTTGATTTTATAATTCCATTCAGTTTTACTTTTAATGTGATAATATTACTCGTACATACAAAACGCGGAGGATGGTATTAGGCGCGGTTGACTTGTCTTTTCGATCGAATGATTTTGCCGCTCCGCTGGAAGTCGGGAATCAGTCGTGTTGTCGAGAAGCTGTCGTGCCACTTGACGCCCGAGCTAACGCAGTAACGCTCATCTTGAACTTGACCGGCATAAAGGTGACCACCTTTTTTATGATTTACCTCCGCCCCGTCGGACGGCAAACATTGAGGAAGGAAAATACCTCTCGTCGATCAGGGTACAGCGCGCGCTGCTACTTAATGGTCAATCAATGAGTTGCAGGCCTCTCCGTGAAGCGTTGTCATATCTACCGTCCTTAAGAAAAAATATCGTATAACTCTGTTATAGACGCTATTAGCCGTCACAGAAAAGCTATATATATTTATCAATTTATTTGCATTGGAAGCAGTGAAAGAGATTATGCCAATTTCATTGTTTGGATCCAATTCGATATAATGGAGAATCCATATGATAACGTCGCCACCAGTAGCGTCTATACGTTGAAAACTCTTTATTTGTAAAACGTGATGAATTTTTCTTCATTTTGTTTAATAAGGGCTAATCCCATCTGTCAGCGTCTTTTCGAGCACTTTTCTCTAACCTTTTAACCTAATTGCCTCGTCGTATTTTTCCTGAAAAAAGTACCATCCCTAATTGTCTACTGCCTACAGGTCGTTAATTGTTAGGAAAAAAAAATCTCCCGTCCTTCGGATTCAATGAAGATGCATATTTTCCCTTTGATTATGGTAAAAACTGGAGCAGAAAGTCAAGAATGATGGCGATGATACGCAGTCCTGCAGCCTGCAGAATTCCTACTGTCTTGTAGGCGCTAATATGCGTTTCACGCTAACTGACCGCGTTTGGCGCAATGTGAGAAGTATTCATGCAGTCTCATAAGCGCTAATATGGGCTTTGCGCCGACCGCACTGTTTGGCGCAATGCGCGAAGTATTCCGACAGTCTTGCAGGCGCTAATATTTCAACGCCGGCCGCACCAAGGGTTTGGCGCGATTATTTGAACTCGCGTTATAATTGCGGCATCGAATAATAGAGCTTGAAAGGCCCATGCTGTGTGTGTGTGTGTATATGAGCATTCCAACGTTGCCTCGTTTTTCGCGATTAAATATTTTTTCCGAGAATAAAGTTAGGAAAGTTCTTCATACCCACGGCCATTATTCAATCTTTTCACTTTATTTATCATCAGAAGGTGAGACATCGATGACTTGTCAACAAACTAACGTAAACTAGCGTTAACATAAATATGCGTTTGTTTTCCAACTGATTCTTTTTTTTGCCAAACTGCTGCCTTAAATTAACATCATTTTAAAGTCGCGCATTCGTGTAGCAGACGTCAAGGTTTCTATTCGCGCAATCCTTTTGCCTTTTCCGCGTAATCCTCGTACATGTTCTTCGACCTTTCGCGCAATCCTGGATTAACGGATAGAATCACACACAGCATGGCTTGAAATATTCACAGAATATTCTTCATGAGGACACTGAAATGTGTAAAAAATGACTCTCAGTAATTTCCCATGTAGAAAATAAATATGACAGAAAATTTGCAAACCGAGATACGCATTTCTGCAGTTTTGGGTTTTGTCAAAACATGTAGCAGGTGCGGGACAAATCGACGGTGCAAGTCGGCAATCATATAACTCGGTTTGCGACGACGCAGACTTCCTGTCTTACTTCATTTTTTAAACGCAAAACTACTCAACGGCAATTCTTTAAAACTGCCGTGATTTTTCTTCTCTGTGCGAAGAAAATTCTACAAATACTTCCAAGGAATGATGTCATTTTGTTCTCCCTTAAAAAAATAACATAGAAGCGGAGATTTTCAGATACCGCAAACGAGTTATGTGATTGCCGACTTACACCGTCGAAATGCATTTTCGAATAGCTTGTGATTACTGCTCCGTAGTAGATTTAGTGCTTACCTTGCGACTGAGAAACTGCAAAAATGGGTATATCGCTTGCGGTGTTGGAAATCTTCGCTCCTATTTAATTTTTTAAAAGGAGACCGAACCAACAGCATGGCTTGAAATATTCACAGAATATTCTTCATGAGGAGAAGAAAAATCACTGAAATGTGTAAAAAATGACTCTCAGTAATTTCCCATGTAGAAAATAAATATGACAGGAAATTTGCAAACCGAGATACGCATTTCTGCAGTTTTACCATCGAATTAAATTAATAAAACGAGGAGATACTAGTCACGCAAATCCTACGTTTACTGTTCCTTTTGAATCAATGCATTTGCTGATTCATGAAGACGAGGTCTAAAATAATCTAAAGCTCCTTCATTTTGAGTCCACGCAACACGGACATCCATCAAGCTCGATTAGTTGCATCAAGGCGGTATACTGTCAACGTAGTGTGGCACTTGTCAACTAATAAACCAATCGAAAACGCAATTTTTATCTCTGATCGAAAAAATTTCAGGAACGATCGGCTCAGACTTTATTTATTCCTTAAATAACTGCTCCAGCCACGAGACTAATTTCACACCAGAGGATATCGTAAAAAGTCACTTGCAACTGCAGCAGCAGCTCGATTGTTGAAGCTATATCGAAAGACCTAGATCGATAAAAAGAATTGCTGAAATAGGGATTTTTTCGATCAGGATCATTCGATAATTCACAATCGACCTAGGGCCGTCATCTTTGAAGGTCAGGTTCCTCACAACTTTAAAAATGTGGTCTTCCATTCGGGAGAAATTTTGATTAATTTTGGGGCATCATTGGAGATTCCTTGAAACTCTCCCCTCCGAACAACTTTTACCGCCCCCTCCTTTCCCCCATGGAGAAAAAAAGGAGATGTTTGCATCTTGAGGATTGTTCACCCCGTGACGTAGGTCGGTACAGGTATCCAAGCAAAATCCGGAATTCGAAGTATAAAAATTGGACCATTAAGTCTGATTTGCCAGGTTGGCCTAGTGGTCAGCGCGTCTGACTCTAGGTCATTAGGTCCCGGGTTCGAATCCCGGTGGTGGCGTCTAATTTTCACGGAATTGACGAGTAGATCTGCTGAAACAGATTCTCCTCGGCACTAATCCCTGAAAATTAGAAAAGCCTGGAGCATGGAGCCTGATGTCTACGGACACTGAACATTGTCTAAAGTTGGCTGAAGGTGCAGTAGACACGAAGCCATTAAACCAGCAGAAGAAAGAAGTCTGATTTTTTGTTGTTGCTTAAATCAACTCATGATATAATTTCGAACAAGTATATAGTATGAATTTTTCCATAAACTACACCATTCCCAAGAATATCGATGATAAAAATCGTCCGTACCGACCTACGCCATCAAAAAAATCCAAGATGTCCGAAATGCACACACCACCTTTTTTTCCCTATGCCCCTCCCGCCTCCCCCCAATTTTGACTAAAATGATGCCTCTGACATTTAGGTTCGGTAGATGATATACCTAGTGCAACAGTGCGGTGCAGTTAAAGTTTACCTAACACTGGAGTGTTAATAAGTCAGGTAATTACATTGTCAGCGCAAGCTGGTACCTACATAAGATAACTCAATTCCGGCTCCTTATCACTCGTTATTTTACAAAGCTCATCTGCATACGCATTCGATCATAAATCACCTCTCACACATCTGTAATTAAATGTGTTTTCTCACGTGCGGCAATTACTCTAGTGTCGCTCAGCTAGCGTGAACTTATCTCGCTTGCTTTATACTGCGCCGCTCATTCATAGAGAACGAATGCCTTGATAAGTAAACTACTTACATGAGAAAGTGGGGGATTAGCTGCATAATGGAGAATTATATTTACCGCCGACCATCAGAAAAGAGAATCGGTAGTGGTATACTGCCGCGCTAAGGAAAAACGCCGTATGAGCATTTGAGAGTTGCCAAATTTCCCCAGATATGTATGTATTTTTGAAAACATTCATGCAAATTTTCCCTTGAAATCAGATATTTTAGATTAAATTGCGTACAAAACTTTCTGAAATTTTTGGAAAATAATATTCACAATTTTCCCAGTATTTTCGATTTGTATCGGAGGAAATTTGGCAACGGCTGAAGGCTCATACGGCGTTTTTTCCTTAGCACGGCAGTATAGCAAAGGGGGGGAGAAGTTGGAGCGGTCCGGACGTCCCGCCTCACGGAAAAAACGGTTTGCTGATTTAACAAATAAATTGTTAAAAACTATGACCGACATTTTTTAAATTAGCATTTTTTTTATTGTAAAATCTACATTGAAACATGTCGGACATGGTTGTGAACGATTTAATTGTTTCGGCAAAGACTTGAAATAGAGCCTCAAAGAGCGCAAGGTATGGGATGTGTAAAAACTCGATGGCGCCTTCATTNTAGGGTTAAGCATGATGACCTTGATGCAACCAATCGCGCTTGATCGCTCTCAGCAGTTGGCAGATATCTCTCTCCCACCGTGAGCTGTCTCTCTCGCACTTACAGATATCCCGTAAGAGAAACTGGGATCAATTTACAGCTTTTATTATTAGACTTTCAAAGCTCGCGTTTGTTTCTAAGGATTCCAGACGTATGCTGCTAGAACTTATGAGTCTTAGAATTTAAGATACCTTTTGTGATATTTAAATAATCACTGATTTCGGAGTCGGATTTTAGCAGCGCGACGTGGTGGATTTTTTCGGAACTACAGCTGAAGATTAACCTTAAAGATTACCTAACACTGGAGTGTTACAAAGTCAGGTAATTACATCGTCAGTGCGAGCTGGTACCTACATAAGATAACTCAATTCCGTCTCCTTATCACTCGTTATTTTACAAAGCTCATCTGCATACGCATTCGATCATAAATCACCTCTCACACATCTGTAATTAAATGTGTTTTCTCACGTGCTGCAATTACTCTAGTGTCGCTCAGCTAGCGTGAACTTATCTCGCTTGCTTTATACTGCACCGCTCATTCATAGAACGAATACCCTGATAAGTAAACTACTTAGATGAGAAAGTGGGGGACTAGCTGCATAATGGAGAATTATACTTACCGCCGACCATCAGAAAAGAGAATCGGTAGTGGTGTACTGCCGTGCTAAGGAAGGACGCCGTATGAACATTTGAGAGTTGCCAAATTTCCCCAGATAAAACATGTATTTTTGAAAACATTCATGCAAATTTTTCCTTGAAATCAGATATTTTAGATTAAATTACGTACAAAACTTTCTGAAATTTTTGGAAAATAATATTCACCATTTTCCCAGTATTTTCGGTTTTTATCGGAGGAAATTTGGCAACGGCTGAAGGCTCATACGGCGTTTTTCCTCAGCACGACAGTATAGCAAAGGGGAGAAAAAGTTGGAGCGGTCCGGACATCCCGCCTCACGGAAAAAATGGTTTGCTGATTTAACAAATAAATTGTTAAAAACTATGTCCGACATTTTTCAAAAGTACATTTTACAATTAACCACGGGGATGGTTAAATTAGCATTTTTTTTTATTGTAAAATCTACATTGAAACATGTCGGACATAGTTATGAACGATTTAATTGTTTCGGCAAAGACTTGAAATAGAGCCTCAAAGAGCGCAAGATAACTCGATGGCGCCTTCATTTCCTTTGAATGCAATTTGGGCGTCTATTGAGTATAGTTGTGTCCATATCAGGCGCTGCCATTAACATTGCAACTTCGCATCATATCTGTTAAGGGGCCGCCCAAGCATTACGTACTGCATTTAGGGGGGAGGGGGGGAGGATCCGAGCCGGGGGAAAAAAACTTTGGAAAAATAAAGTGCAAAAAATTGAAAATCCCGCCCTTCTCGAATGAATAATTTCACACCTTCGTTGATCTCTTACCGTCGTATTTCAGCGAAATATCTCCAAAAAACCCCGAAAATTTTCAAGCTATTTTCTCAGCGTTTTCTTGGTTTTTGAGAAATGGAGGGGGGGGGGAGGTCAGGCCAGCGTCACGTAATTCAAAAGGGGGGTGGGCTGCGTTACGGGTGCGTTACAAGAGGAGGGTGGGGTAAAAAATTGGAAAAAGTGCGTTACGTACTACTTGAACGGCCCCTAATCGGAATAATAGAGAAAGTATACCTTGCTTTATTTTGCGAGGAGAGCTCCGTAATCTTAAAGGATGTCTATCATTCTTAATATGTTGGAGCGCCTTCAATTTCGGATGATACTGTGCAACACCTCTGTTGCGAAATAGTTGCTTGAAGCGCCGTGGCACTGGCACGCCGCGCCGCGCCGCGGCGAGGACGACCAGCGCGACACGCACATTGGCGCCTACAAACCTAACAGGGATACTTCACGCATTGCGCAATTCTCCCCTGCTGTGCTCTGTCGCATTCATGGTTCCATGCAATCATTTTTAAATCACGCGCCCGCTTGTTGGCTACGTTGAGCAATAAAAATGTTGGGTGGTGAGTGTCGGCGGTCAATTGCCAAACAAAAGAGAAAACAAACAGGTTTACGGAGTTGAAGTTGATATGAGTCATTTTAATTTAATTTTGTGAGTGAAATTCCTAAGTTTTCTTGTTAGTGCTGTGATTTAATATAAAAAATGGCTAGTGTGTTCGGTAGATCAGATCGAGGGTTCTCAATTGATGATGCTTTCGAAGAGGATAACGATGAATTGATTAAAGTATATGGCTCAACCACAGAGAGGTCTCCTTTGAAACCTAAAAACAGGAATGTTATTTCGGACGATGAAATTCTAGTTGCCATTGATGACCCATCAACTCATTCTCAATACACTAATCTTGGTGCTCATTCATACGCGGGCATGCCCTCGCAACAAATGAAATCAAAATATGCAGACGATGTGAGTATAGTTTGACTGATAAGACTTATTCTCATACTTCTGGCAGCTAAGTGTCTCCCTCAAATCAGCTCCACCTCTACCGCAGGAATCCCATTTCTGCATTATTATTACACGTTTCGTGTGGAAACGATTACCACGCAAAATTCAGCAGTTGAACTCTGAGGGGAAGTAAAAAGCAGCCAGGGCCTATAAACACACCCTTATCCTAAGTACCTCCGCTGCGTAGCTGCAAGAAATGAGGAATTATCACATTTATTTCCTACTACATTGTATATTTACTGTGACAAAGGCAGTCTCTAGTTATTAAGAGTATTTCCAGACCTGCTCACTTATTGAACTTAGTACAAACCAACACAAACTGCCATATTTTTTACAAATGTATAGTAGTCCAAAGTTTGGCAGGCTAATGCAGATAACTTTCAGCCATGCTCTCAGGGCTAAAAGAGGTGTAGTATCTTCCTTTTTCGAACATGGAAACCTTCTCTTCAAATTTTCTTGACTAACTAAGCCTGCAGCACAATAGATGAACACAATTTATAAATTTTAGTGGACTTATTACTACTAGAACAGGGGGAAAAAAAGAATAGACAAATGTCACATCCAAAAATTGCACCATTCAACAGATATTTACATGCTAAGTAATGAACCAACTGATGATTGATGTATTCATACTGATGTGACTTCTGTCTATTCTTTTCTTTATCCAGTTCTAATAACGGTAAACCTCTTGACTTGAATGACTTGTAGTGTGAAGGGCTTTGTTTTCATTTGAAACGCGGTGGACGGCGATGAACATCGGTATTTTTTCATTCTATTCCTCAGCCGTGCTCCAAGCATTTCAGTCGATCAGGATGGAACGGATGGATCGCTCCTCCAAGGTGGGTTGAGATGGCATTCCAATGTGATCCGAACCGAATTCGAGAAAGTTTCCGCCCATGACAAATCAAAACAATAATGAATCAAACCAACCACCAAGTTTGAATTTTTTATCACTTGGAACGCTTTGAATCGGTCAGGATTGCTCAGAGTTCCGTTCCAGTGCGTCCCACTACAATTCACCCTGTTCTGCAATTTAAAAAAAAGCCCTTGACAATGATTATTGGATCGCAATTAGCAAAAAGGAACCAGCGCAAACACAGTGTTGTTAAAATGTTGCTTCTTCATAATTATCTATAGAGTTTCTCGAAATAGCAAATAGTTTCTAAAACCACCAAAAAATGTTAATTTCAAAGGGAAATAATTGTGTAACTTTTAATACTGTACATCTATTTATTATTTTCAAAGAAAAGAAAATAATTTGTACGGTTTTGGAAACACTGTAATCACTCTGTTCCTTTTAGCTAAATGCGCTCCTATTGTTCGTTTGCAGTAATCTCCAGGAAATAAAATCAGTAAATGAATACTTTGACATCAAGTTTTGATTAAGTACATGGACGTATTTCTGCTAGACAGAACTAAGCGCCAAATTGAGTTCCTTTTTAGGATTTTAGAATCCCGGATAGCGCGTTCTGTCAAATGAAAATATGGGCCATGGAAAAGCATTGCGAGTGTAGGACGGAACGAGCATCGCGTTCCGCAACACCTGCCAATCCAAGCCCCCCCTCTCCCTTTCATCCCCTATGGCGCTTAGTTCCGTCTGATAGAAATACGTCCATATGTACTTCAGAGACAAGTATACACATACTTTTAATGATTATCATTCTTGAAAATAGTCCAGTGCATATTACTCACTGAAATCCCAATTTTCACAAGTTTGATATACTCATGTAGTAGTAATGCCCAATTTTTTGTTTATATCGCTGAGTATCTATAGAATATTCACTTATTGTTTTATAGGCACTATCCAGAGACAGTGACTCTTTGTTCTATGACAATCACTCAGCAACGGGCATCTTTGATCCCAATCAATGGTGCTGCATGCATCCTAAGGTCAAAGAAAATTGGAAAATAGTATTAGCTGCAGTAATGTTATTAATAGTTGGAATAGGTAAGTCAATTCTTTTACTGAATTCTTTATTTTGTTATTGTGAAAACTGAGAAGGTTCAGTGTGCCAGTTTTTACCTTTTATTTCAAAGAAATTGTTTAAAATGAAGCAGATGTCTGCTGATACTTTTTTTTGTCAAAGCAGGAGATCTGCTCCATCAAAACAAACTGCAAATTGCACTCTTGCTAATGTGCTATCATTTATCATAAAAACAGTCCCATGTAATGAGTGACCAAAGTCCTTCTAAGTACATTTCCCTGATCCTTCCCTGCTTTCTGGACCATAACCCATTTTTCTCAAAAGAACAGCTACCCTTCTGCCATAGTACCACCTGCACCATTTATACTGATATTGACGCTATGTCGTGAGACATTTCAATATTGTTTTAATTTTCTTTAAAAAAAATTTTGCTCCTAGTACTTTCATGAAAACCTCGGGGATTTATGTTTATGACAAAAAAAATTTGGTAAAATTTTTAAGTGATTCTGGCCATTCGTTTTTCTGTAAAAAAATTGATAAGTTTGAAAAATTTGGCAGCATAGTGCTTAAATGGCACCAGTTATACTGTGGCCAGAAGGTGATGATTTACCTTTCAGTTTCCCGTATCAATCAGTTTTGAAAATATCTTGGTAACCTCAAGTGATCATGATATGTCGAAGTGGTAGTAGAGCCCGTCTGCATGGCAACACATTTGACTGTTTTTGTGGTATGCCATCACTCCGGCATAAGGATGCATAATCTTTTTGGACTGTTATTTTAGTCAAAGCTGAGAGCTTAGAGACAGCTCAGCCATATTAAGCACTGATGAAGAAGATCCTAGGTATAAATATCATAATGTAATTCACCCTTTTCTAGAAACACGTCTCGTTTGCAAAATTTAATCAGTAGATCATTAGGCTCATCATATCATCATATACTGAGATCAGTTCATACATTTGTGCCAGGCAATGAAAACAACAGTCAATGAATGTCCATAAAATTGTGGTTCAAGTTTTCTGGTGGTCTTTGGGTGGTTTCAATATCATACATCTACAATATCACTCCATCAAAATCAGGAAATAATATTGTAGCAAAGTAAATTGTTCGAATTATTGAAAGACTTTTTTCTAATGTGAGTCAATGCTCCCAGCTTTTAATGGAAGGAGTTTTTTAAGAATAACAAACTGATTTTCCTCAGCAATCTCCTCTGGACTTCTCTAGGATGTGACGTTTTTACTCTGCAAAAAGTATAAAGGAGCAACTAATTTGTCGGTGAAGTAAGGTGTCTTAAAATTTCTTCAATATATGACTCTTTTGCAAGAAAATCCCTACGACATAATTTTTTTCCTTTTCCAACAACCCATTACAATCAATAACTTTTGGCAGTTAAGCACTTCAATCTTTAGTCTTTTTCTTGCAGAAAAAAATGTGTATTGTATTCCAAGTGCCTGCAAATGTCTCAGTCTTTATACTTTTTGTACCTCTGAAACCTAACTAACTTTTCTGTCCACAGTAGCCTTTAAATAAAAAAAAAAAAATTAAGTCTTATTCTAAGCTGCAAGCTGTCTTGTCGTCAACCTAAGACCATATTTTAACTGTGTTGTGTGTCTTCTTTCAGGTCTGTTATTAACAGGATTAGTTGTATCATTTCTACCTTCATCGAATTTACAAGGTTTTGTATTTTACATCGCTGGCCTGATCTGTTTTATACCTGGTGCGTATCATGTTGTCTATATCTACCTAGCTGTCAAAGGTTGCAAAGGTTATGATTTCTATCATTTACCGTTGTTCAATTAGATCTTGTGTTCCAAAATAAATGATGTTGAGCGACTGAGGATAGTTACTAATTTTAAGAAATATCGAATATAGTTTGAGCTTTTGATGCTTTTCAGTTTATTTTATACTAATATGTACTTGTAAAGTTTCTTCTTTTAGTTGTATCCATTGTGAGCAAGATCTTTTTTTCACTTTCAAAAGTAAGTAAAAGCAAGAATCATGCTGATTAGGCCTCATAAAGGTCGGAAGATTTATTTGTCCTTAAAATTCAGTTCCTTTCTGAATTGAAGGAATGTTTGTCAAAATTCATTTAAATAGACTCTGTACTTTAAGTTTTATTCTGTAGTTTATCTTTTGCAGATAATTTTTTTTGTTAAAGCTGGAAAGATGCTGTTGTTTCTGGCAGTATTTATAGTGGATCTTGAATTCATCTTAATCGTTCAAAAAGCCCCTTTTCATTCACAACAAAATTGGAAAAATGAAAGTGAAAAAGAAACAAATGATAAAGGTTTTACCTTTTCTACTTTACCTTCACTTACAGAAAAGTGTCATTACAAGTAAAACTGGATAATATTTCAAATTCACGAGTTTCTAACCACCTTTTTTGAACCCGAAAGCTATCTTTAAGTTGAATATATATCAACACTCTATCAGAATATTGTGTTCATCATAGAAAATCATAATCAGTAATTTTACCCATTCCTAGGGAAATTTTTCCTTGTGAACAAAAGGAGTACGATTGCCTTACCTTCTATCCTTTCAAATTTAAAATACTTGTCACATAATGACCCTACGTCATTTTATGAAGAATGTGTATAAGTGAAAAGTAAAATCTAGATACTTACTCGGAAACGTCGAAAAATTCGTTATCAAATGGTACAACTGACTGAGAGGACCAAATGTAAGAAACAATGGTGATCGCTATATACCTAGTTTCCTCTTGCTGATTACTCTATTCTAGGGGAGTCTATTTTGAGAAGAGAAGCAGGAATGCAGAATATCTGGAATCGCTAGTCAAGTTTGGAAAGGCTGGGAAAACTTAATTAACCTCAGCCTTTTCATTGAAGTTCCAAAATTGTCGGTTTTTTTTTGCCTATTGTTGGACTTTTCTTAAATTTCTGAGTAGAGAAAATAAAGGATTTTTATCTTAGAATCTCAAAGAAATTAGAGGGATGATATTTTCTGCATTCCTGATTCTTACCTAAATACCATGTCAACTTCCCAGTCGATTATTTTGTCTTCACCCTTCTATTCTACTCAGTAAGTTAAAATGGTATCAATGAAGGAATTGATAGCTTTGTTCATGCAAGCAAATTTTCCATGACCTTTGTTAATATCTAAAATATTTTGACAAGATTCAGTTTACTTCTCAATAACTGAGTATTTCACCAGTTTCGTCATTACTTGCGCAGAGGAAGTTTTTTTAGCGAAAAACTCTTTGCAAGTTGTGAATTTTGCTTGCTCAATTTTTTTTAATATTGGTTTTTTCTTCATTTTCTTTTATTTGTAGTCTTTTCTATGTAACTTAGAGCAAAGGCTGTATTTTGCCTTCTATCTAGTTTATTCTATTAGGTATTTAATACTTAATATTTTGGTTTTGAAAAGAATTGTTCCCTAAGCCTCCTTTCCTCAAACCTATCTCTTCTTGTTTTCGGAGACTTATTTCACTTTTTTTCATGTATATAATTTTAATTGACAATAGGAATTTGTCTAGATGGCCCCAGACATATTTCACAAAGATTGGTGTCTTTTAAAATTTCTAGAAGACCTTGAGTTTTTTCTCTATCACTACTTTTGCTCTAAATTAAAATAGGTTCGAAAATGTGCACATAGGGCACCCCCTTTTTCCCTTTTTTAATTTTGTTTTTGTATCAAACGATCTTGTGAGTGAATGTGCCATGAGCAGTCTTCTCCAAACTTTATTCACTCATGAACGAACATACTTAAAAAATTTGATCATATCTGCCTATCTGTGAACATTTTAAATATCCTTGTTTGTGCATATCGAAAACACAATTATTCGGCTAACTTTTGCCTGTTTATGCAGCTTGTGTAATTTTATGAAATCACCAATTTTTTTAACCGAAGATTTGTTAAAAAATGTTTCTGCCTCTTTCCAACCAAGAAGTTATACCTTCATCAAACTGAATTTAAAGTTGAAATCTTTAACATGATTTGTATCGTGGACTAACTTGTAGAGAAAAAGATAACATTTCTATGAGAGTGAGTGTCAAGAAATAAAGGCTTGCATTTTGAGCCAAGATTTCAGAAGTCAAATATTTGTGAAAAAAATTGATGCTGATAAAGTTTTTGAAAGTAGATCTTTATATAGGTCAATTAGCAAAGAATTAAAGATAACAATTTTTCTTTTTCTTCTCCTCTCCTAATTTAACTCAGAAACTTAATTTTTCTGCTGTATGTACTTACGAAAGCAGAACTCCAAGCGAGCCCCGGAATTTTAAGGCAGTTCAAAGCTTTCGAAATTTAAACTAGTTTAAAATTAAAGAACCATATCAATAAAGAAAAAAAATTGTCTTGCTGTATAAAATTGGTGATAACCTGTGGGGTTTTGCATGTTTTTTCCTCTTGACTTGTAGCCTCTCAAAAAAGATTCTTCTGTTGATAATACACATTTCTACATAAGTTCCTGTGCTAGCTCTAAAAAAACTCACGAGAAAATCCAGCTTTTGAATGAAGAAGGCAACTTTTGATTGTATTATAATCACGATAATTAACCCTCTCTGTTGTATGTAGTTTTATTTTTTGCAGATTATTTTCTTTGTATTTCTTAAATTTTAATTTTTCATAGTCATCTACGAAACTTACATGTACAAGCAAAGCTCTTGGACTTACATTTCTGTAGCGTTTGTAACACAGTATCTGAACCGATAAAATGGGGAAGAAGCATGAGCAACCTTATTAACACTCAAAGCACTGAAAATTAAGTATTTTGTCGCAGATTAGCATAAGTCTTTCACTTTTCTCACTAGAAGCAAGAAATTTGCATAAAGAATACTTTGCTCATCAGCACTATGGAGGAGTCTAATGAGAATCAAAGATTGAATTGAATATTTCAGTTTGAATCAGATTTAAGGTATCTAATTTCTAAACCAAAAAATACTTAACATTATTTCTAATCAGTTACCCTTCTATAAATCAAATATTGTATTTTCGGAATGTAATTCTGTCCAGGGTACTTATTTTTGTACCCACCTTGAATTTGAATTGAACTTGGGTTTTAGATATTGATTCGTTTAAGCGTTATATTCTTGAAATACTTCTTCATCTTCCTTTCTTTTTCATTTATGATTGTCTTCTCTTCATCTACTCTTTTTGAATGTCATGTTTGGCTCCAGATTGTAAGTGAAATTTCTTTTCCCAGCCCAAGCACCTAGTTCCAATTGAAAATGCAAGCCTGCTCCCAAATTTTAGCTTGAACATTTAAACTTTAAGTTAAATTATTACTTGAACTATAGCGGAACAAAGCCCATAATTGCACATGTCTACCTAATATTTCTGGGAGGTCATCGCAGATTTTTAGCGCATTATTTAATGGAGCACATGCATGTACTGTTCAGTGCAAGATAATATAATTTTTTTCTTTCTAATATTTCCCATTTTAATTTTCTGTCTTCAGAGCGAGAAAATGATAAGATTTCTCCATGCAATGAAACTATTGTTTTCTTGATGTGCAGCTCAGAGTATGTGATAATGTTGAAAGTAATGCATGAAAAAATTTGTAATTTTAGAATTAACTTTTTTTTTTTCTTTCTTCTTTTTCTTCTCTTCGTCTGTCAACAAATCATCAAAATGCATCACATCAATCTTTGTGATGACAACTAAAAGATTAGTCTAGGCCTCAAACCAATGAGCCATCATTGTGGTCTAGAAAATCTAGAGAAATAATGTATTTAACAATAATAATTAAGATTTCTTGAAAATTAGGCAAAGGTGGGTCGCCTGAAACACTTTATCAGCCTAAAGTTTTGTTTTTGACAGCTGCGTTCATCTTAAATTTCCGTTTTCTCCTGCTCTGTAACCAATTTTTTGGTATTTTTTTGTTTATTACTTTTAATACACCCATATTCATTGATTCTAGTCATGTTCGTCATGTAGGTTACGGACTTAAAATCATTTTGTACCTTCACTTTTGTATTTGTTGGTTGATTACTTATCACATTGAATACTGAAAAGAAGATAATAGGCAACCAATGTGGATTCCTTATCCTTTTTCTCCCCTCCCGCAATTGCTGTACATTTTCTTTTAATTTTGACTTTCCCGTATCCCCAATCGCCTCTCTCCCTCTCTCAAAATTGTTCAGGGGACTATTTAATGTGGAGCTCAACGAAAACTTGTCTTGATAAATGCGTCATCTCTTACAGCACTGTGAAATTCACAAGATTCATTGGGTAAAATCTGAATATTTATTAATTTAATTTTAGTAAACATTTTATGATGCCACCAACAATTTCACATGATATATTACTTACAGTCCAAGCAAAAATTGAGATGTATTGATGAAAAAATGAAGAGGCTGCCATATGTTGATGCTGAGATAAACTAGTCCCAATGAACAATTGCAGTTGTCTTCCTGATCGGTCAAACTATTTTTGCACCAAACAGCATATCTTTACAATTAGAAATTGTGTTTCTCCCCTTCTCTCCAAAGAATCTTTATTAGTTGTGTCTATGACAGGTCAGCGTATTGTCTACCAGCTCTCAGTTTGAGGGAGAGGATGAGTTTCAACTTAAGTAAAAAATGTCCTAATTTTTATCGTCCAAAACCCCTCCTACTTTGCCCAATCACTCCATCATTTTCCATAACGTAGGCAAAAAGTCTTAGCGAGGATTGTACCACCAACATTTTGTAAATCTTGTATGGGGATAACTTAATTCATGGAAACCAATGAAGCAAAGTTCTTTACCACTGTTCGATGTGGTCGTTATTTTTGTAGACCGTGTAAAAAAGTTGTGCAAATATTTGTTAATAGCTATAATGAGAGATTTTGTTATCTGTTGTAAGAAAAACTGTCCAACTCTACTATAAATGCTTTGTGTAAAAAATAAACTCATTTTGTATCTGTCTATCGGAGTTTTTTTTTTTTTTTTTTTTTTTTTTTAAATTAATGTTGATCTGACCAAGTCAACAGGATCAAATTATGAACTGTCTCTTAGGAGGGGGAAAAATTATCAAGTTTGATTTAGCTGATTCTTAACTTCAATAGTCATGCACAGTTCAATTAAGTAATCTTAGCAAGACCAATCCACACAGGTCGGTCATTGAGCATCTTTAGGAAAGCCGTTTGAGTCAAGCTTTCACGCGACTGCAGCCAGTGTGATGTAGCATTGGTTGCTCCCATAAAAAATGCATTGCATTTAAACTTCTTACCACCAAAGTGCAGTAGGGTCTCATAATTCGCTCACAGGAATGACTGACTTGTGTGGATTGATCTTGGTTCTAAGCAAGGAAAGAAAACAATTGTAAAAAAAGCAACAGCATGAATTGTAAATCTAAGAAATTTCAGCAACTTTTATTACATGAACAGTATTCACAATTAAAAGTTCAAGATTGTAAAAGGCAATTAAGGAGATCGCTCAATGAAGAAAATTACAATACAATCGTTGTTGCAATTTGAGGGGAAAAATGTAGGAAAAAGAGTAAACAACTTCCAAAAACACACTGACCCCCATTCAAATGAAGCCTTTCACATTTCAGATTTTCCCACTCTTGAGTGAGATAGGAAGAATGTCTCAATGAAATTCAATTGTTGAAGCTGTTATGGTAAGAACGATAGTCAACATATCTCACTGATGGAGTCGAAATACTCAGGAAAAATTAATTAAGGTGGAAAAATTGAACTGACTAGATGAATGAGCGAAACAAAGGTTTCTACTAATAGAGATCAAAAACATGTTAAAAAGTAAAGGCTCAATCCTTAAGAAGCAACTCCCATTCAATTAGCCAATCAGTTCGCACATCGGAGGAGGTAATTTAAGTTTCCAAGGAGCTCTCCAGGATTTTCAAAATTTTTGAATTATTTGTAGGAAAGAGACTCCCAGTTACAGTTGATCTATTCAATTTGTTTTTCAAACGAAATCAGTTCTCAGACGTTGAGATAATGTGGCCCCTTGTTCGAGCAAGAGAAGCTGATGCTTTTAATTTTCAAATGTTAATTTAAGTTCATCAATTGTTGGAATAAGTGCGAGAATTAACTCAGATAGCTGCCATGATTTCTTTCAATAGAAAAGTTATTCCAGGAAAGGAATTTTCATTTGAATGGATGTAGAGTGCTTTCACATTAGTCTGTTAGCTGTTATGCACTCATTTCAATTCATGGAAGTACCACTGAATTTCATACCTTAGGGAATACAAACTTTAAAAAATTAAAGTAATGGAGTATATACACAAATTTACTATGTACAAAATGAATAATAATAAAAAAAAGAGACAATTGCAAATTTTACTCTAGTTAACTCTTGTCTTTCGAAGTTAAGTCATTCACTTACTTTTGCAAAATATACTTGCCACATGACTGAAAACGGCTCTCTGTAAATTCAATAAAGTTTTAAATTGACTTCTTAGGACAATACTTTCTTGTCTACCTTTTTCCCCTCTTAATGTAGAAAATTGCTAAATCTAGAAATTTTTCTGTTGTTTGAAAATCTTTGTGTTATCAAGCAATTATTAAGGACGTTTGACAGCGGAAGGAGTCAAAAAGCATAACTGAGATAAGATATTTTGTATGAAACCATTATTGAGCGTTCTAAATAGAAAATGAATATCAGAACCCAAATTTGAGCTATTGTGTGCTATTTTCGATTTTATTAACGTACAGTCAATTTTCTCCAAATCACAAAAATATCACTTCATCTTTCTGTCTAGGACAGTTTTGCATTCTTGATAAAAAATAATTAAATTAATTCAAAAATTGTCTTTCTTCTTTCCGTTTGCAAAAGCACAATGAATCATGGCAGTAAATATTTTTAGAGCAGGTTGGGCCGACCACAATTGCCTTCATGTAATAAACTAGTGTTCAGCAACATTCATTTCTTCTAAAGTACCAAGGTATACCTTGTAAGTTGAGGCTTAAAATGTCATGAATATGAGACTTTCTTCCAAGCGGACCAAATATTCAACTCCATCACCAAAACACTACCAAGTCTCAAACAAAGGAACTTTAAAAACTTAACCATTTAAAAAAATCTAAATATATGTCGGCGATAAGTAAAGAGGAAAGTCAAACATGATGAATTAATTTACGATCAGACTGTTGTAAATTCTAAAAATAAGGAAGCACGTTGTTCTTTCCAAGAATGAATGTAACTTTAAAATGCAGTGTCCTTAAACAGGGTGACCTAAAATTCCCCCACCACCAACAGCAGGAATCACTCTCGTAACTTTTGAACCAATGAGATGGAGACTTGAAATTTTGCGAGTGCTCTCAGGTTAAAGGAAACTCCTTTTAAATACACCCTATATTTTAAAAGAACCGCTCTGAAAAAGGGCAAGAAACTTTAATTTTTTAAGTTTACACTATAAAGTTTCAAGGGTGGTGCAGGACTTTTGGATCACCCTATAGAAAATTCAACGACCGATGAAGAAACACTAACTCAGTCTTAAAAGATTAAAAGATGTCAGTTAGGATTGAGTGGCAAAACTGATTCAGAATGAACTTTGAGGACATGACTGGGAGTATTATTGAAAGACGGAGATGACCTAATAAGTGGTGAGATAGAAGATATAAGAAGAGATGATTTTTGGGAAATTCCTGCCACGGATTTCTCTTAAATGTTTAAGGTAAATAACATCACCTGGAGGATTTTCTGCAAGAAAGGTGATATTTGGACTGTTAACTTATCCCCTTCTGGACACTTGATGATTAGTTGATCATATCCTAAATACAAATGCAAGTTCAACTAATTGAGCAGAATTTTGTTCCAGAACAATACCGACTGAAATTGACTATTTGATGATTCCCTGTTTGCTGATTTAAAATTTTAGAGACGAGAGAAATGAAAAGATTTTTCGATACTGAATCCTTTCTACATTTGCCTCTTCCAGCAGCTTGTTCCGAATTGAGAATATTCCTGGATGGGCACACAATACATGTGAGAACCTATAGCGCTATGATCCCGGATTATAAAATGAATTAAGAAACCGATTATAAGTATAAAACTATTGCTCGTTGACCAGTTCCATCAAAACTAACGACAGAATAAGATGAAGCAGAGCATCACGATCTACTAGAATTATCATTTGTCCCTAAACTACTTGCATTAATTTCTTAGTTACCAAAAACCATGACACTGGTTGTCGTTAATTTTATGAGGTAGTCTACTGAAATTTAACTGAGAATGATTAAAAAAAAAAAATTACAAAAAACAAAATAAAGGGAGGATTTAAAAACGCACCCTTCCCCAATGAATTTGGAATCAATTTCCTCAGAGAGGGCATAGAGGCCCTGTCTCAAAATTGCCAGCAACATGTTTCCCAGTTACTTATAAACCATGGGAAGAATTGGCAATATTTTTCTTCTTCTTCCTGTGAAAATTACTTCAATGTTTGTCTCTTGGGTCACACATAACCGAATAAAATGTTGCAGATGATTCTGAAAACGTTCTGATAGCTGAATATCAAAACTCAGTTTTCAACACCAAAGGAAAACCAGTGACAAATTGCTGATTTTACTTGACTCTCTTGTTTGTACCAACTTATGTTCACAGTTCTTTGTGTAAGCTATGAAACCCTTCCTAAAGAAATTAAGTCGATATAAAGTATTCCCGAAATCTGGAATACATTGTTTTTGTTTAAAAGAAAAAAAAGGATCAAATATCATTTAACATAGGAGGTCACTCTAGAATCAATTAAAAACAAATTATTTTTACTAAGGAAAAAAAGTAATGACGGTTAGACATCCTTTCCAGTTATTCACATATCAGAAAATGCAACTCGATAAGACCTACATTAATAGACATGCTTTCTACAATCAAAATAAGATAATTATCACCAAAGGCAAAGGGAAACAAGATTTAAAAACAGTCTTAGTTTTGAAGTATCATAAGACAATATACCTGCTTTTACTGGTGAATAGTTGCACTGACAAAAAGGAGACAAAAGTTTTAACAACTAAAATAAAATTGGTATGAATTATTTACAAATCTCTTACTTTCAGCTTCATTTTTAAATTTTCCAAAATAGTACAGAGAAATGATCAGTAACTTGACGTGAAGCAGGATGGAGAGAGGGCGTCTGTAATAAATGCCTGAAAATTTAAACACGAACAAAAAGATAAGGGCTGCAAATGGCTATTTAAAAACACTAAAAATAAATCATTAGAAAAATTATGTTGCTATCTTGCCAGATCATTGGACCATGTCTTTATGCTGCAGGATGATTCTAGTTTCTAGATACTAGTTTTTCATAGATATTTTCTTGCCCCTGGTAGTAAGTATAGCAAAAAGAGATAAAATCTGAGGGTGTAATTTGTTTGTATTTAGCAAGAGGGAACCAACGCAAAGACAATGTTGTAAAAATCATATATCTTCATCTTAAACTAAAAAAAGTGGCTGGAGCAATGAACAGTCTTTCTTTCTTCCAAAAAACTGTTCATTTTGAAAAGAAACAATTATGTTAATTTTATTACTGAACATATATTTATTGTTCTCTAAATTGAAGAAGAAGTAGCAGGATTTTAAAACAAAAATCGAATAATGCTGGTTCCCTTCTGCTAAATACCATCCAACTAACTCCGGTGCAGAGTGTAATTGGTGTTCTCACTCAGCTAAGTCATTGGTCAAATGACAATAGGGCAAGTATGACCAAAATTTAAAACTAAAATATACTACTTTTTAAAATGCAAAAGAATTTGAATCCTCTCTTCAGATTTGAAACTGGAAATTTATAGAAATAAGTGAGATTATTTTTCCTTTTCAATTACCTTTCCTCAAAGCTTTTACATATATTTAAATGGCAAAATCTATTTTTAATTATTAACGGTGGACTTTTTATGGAGGATGTTGCTCAATATTTCTCATGGGTTTCCCTCCATCTTCAAGTTGATTTTTACGACATAGATCACAGTAATATAAAAAAAATCAAGAAAAATCAGGAATGAGTCACAAGTTACAGAAGCAAACCATGCAAGGAAGGAGAGAGGAGGGAACATTTGCATTGACCCCTGCAGATGTTTCCTAGATTTTATCTACGTTAGTATTGCATCAACATCAACAGTTAGGAAACCTAATGATGGACTCACGTAAAAAATAATTATTTTCCAGGGTAACCAGCAAAAAGTTTGATCCTTGGAATCAGGAAAAATGCTTACGAAAACTTATAAACGCAATTTGACAAAGAAAAAATTTGAAATATTCTCCTACATTTCAGATTTCCAGACGATCAGGTCTCTGAAATTGAATGAAGGTTTTTTTGATGGTCCTTAAAAGATTAGGAAAATACTTTGACAAAGTTTTGATTGAAATCTTTTTCAATTTTTGATGGAAGTCCTGACAACATTTACGCGCCATACTTCAATGAGATAATCATGATAAGAAATGAAGACACTTGAACCGGAGTCGATTCATATTAGATCATAGCCTGGACTTGGCTCTTCTTAAATTGTTAAATCAGAAACTTGTTGGTGCCGAATGAGTTCTAGCTTCATAAAACGTGGTTTGTGATATGATACTGCGTCAAAAGATCTTGACAATACCTGGAAGTTATTTCTCAGGCTAGACATTTTACAGAGAATTGACTATTCTTAGAACAATGAAAGAGTAAACTTGAGAGGAATTACTTGGAAACTCTGGATTGATATATTTGATGGAAATTGATGGTCAACTAAAATAGCTAAAATATTAACAAGCAATAATTAACCTGTTGCCTAAAAATTCACTGCCATCTGCAGCTATCAGTACTCCATTTGGATGTCTTTCTATCAAACGGAACTATGTGCATAATGACCCTAATATGCCCATATTCTTATGGGTCTCAGGGCTCATGTCTTAATGCACATAGTTCCGTTTGATAGAAATACGTCCATTTAGAACTCGGACTCGTAAAAGCAAAAAAACGAGGCATTTTTAGAAGTTTCTTCGAGATCTTAACTTGAAACTTTCTCTCAACTTCCTTAGCTTTAACTTTCTCACGACTGAACTATCCTCAGTGAAATCTTTAAATTTACTCCTCTAAATCTCCTTTGCCTGCCTCAACAAGTCTTCACCGAGACACTACCTGCAAGGTGTTCCAAAAAAGGCTGCAGTCCAACTTTTTTCAGGTGAGCTTTCTTCTTTTAGTAAAGTCCATGTACACACATAATTGGACCTTTGATAAATCTACTGAACTAGTGCTGGGGTAAACGCTTCATTTTTTCTTTACGTCATAGGTTGCATTTCCTGGAGCTGAATATAAAGTCTAAGTGAACCTTCCTTCCCTTTTAACAGCAAAAATATTATCATCCATTGAAAGTCGGGCTAAAAATGTATCGGACGGTTTTCATAATTCTCTAGAAACTTATCAGTTATAAAATAATAGCTCGGCTCAGCATTATTCAATAAAAAGTTGATTGTATTGGGCAAAACAATCATACCCACATTGAGGTGATTTAAAATCTCATCTCCTAACTTAATTTTTTGGGAGGAAACCAACCAACACCCCCACTTAAAAATTGTTGCAATTTTTTTTTGACCATATGAAGCCCATAGAGACAAAGCTTATGCGTTTTCTTCTATGATGTGTAAACTTCCACAGCTGCCTTTCAAGGATGTAATTAAGCCACTGTCATTTTTAGCGGAGGGATTATTTTTATTTTGGCAAGTCCTATTGACTGAATTGTGTTTAGATGAAAAGTTCAATTTTATCATTATTATTTTTATTAAGAAAAAAAAAGATAAGGACCTATATAGGGGCGAAATTTAAAGGACTCAAGAAAGTATGCTTTTTGTTTGTTATTAGTTCCTGAAGTTTAGGAGAGGATCATTTTGATGTTTGAAAAAAAATTAAATAAATTAAAAATTCGGTAGATTTATTTGCATTTTTACAATCTTAAAATTAAAATACAAAAAGGTAAAAGTACAGTTGATCAATAATTTTTCTAACAGCAAATTTCAGCATTTCGATAATTTGTTACTCTAAATTTTTAAAGGGGATAAAAATTACTGTTAGGAATTATGTACAGTACATCACAAAAAATTATACGGAAACTAGAAAAATCTGCTGGTGGTGCAAGGAGAGGATGGAGTAAAAAGTTTAACGATTTCATCAGAGTGGTCAAATTTGAACTAGGTGTACCTGTTATTTGAGTGGAGCAGATGCAGCTGGTAGAAATTAATTTTACAACAATTAAAAAGACCTATGAGCAATCTTCTTGACTTTTCCGTACGCATCTTGCAACTTTCCTTTTGAAATTTTGGTAATCTTCCCGCCACTCTTTCTGCAAAACAAATACAAATAAAAATATCAACACTATAAAGTACTGTCAACAAACAAACTAGAAAAATTTGGCATTCTGGTGATCTACATGCACTTTTAGGCATACAACTTCAGAAGTATCATAAAAAAATGATGAAACATGACAATCATCAAACAAATTTTGTTCCGCAGAAGAAATTTGTAAACTTTACTGAAATACCTTTATCAAGATTTCTTGCAATTTCATTTTGGATTCTACGTCAAATAAGTTTAAGCACTTTAAGATTGCAGGAGAGGACCTGCCATTTTGATTTTTACACTCACATTTAATGCAAAACTGATGCCATATGATATTCTGTCGCAGTCTAAAAGAGCATAAACTTATTTTGCGTAGACTTTGATGTGAATGAAAAATGGGAAACGGTAAGTTTCATACTATCAAGATTGCAGAGAGCTCTTGACTTCTTCTTTTTCCTTGGAAATTTCAAAGTGATGATCCTATTAGGGCTCTAAAATTGGCAGCAATTTTGCAAGAAACACATGATTTTCACAATAAATTGCAAAAAAAAAACTAGCGGTTTTGCTGATCTTCCTTGTTTTTGAGGCCTTTCTATTTTCAAATGCAACCGATCACAACCCACCTAGTTGCATGATTTAGAAGTTTTCCAATCCCTGCTTCAATAGATTAATTAGAACTGAGGAAAGAGAAAAGAGACGAACATCACATTGAATAATAGCACCATTTATGATAAAGTTACGTGATAACCAATGGGCCAACTGATGATTGATCCATTCAGGTTGATGTGAAATTCGTCTTTCCTTTTCTTTCCTCAGTGCTAAAACATGTTTGACAAGTTATATCGATCATAAGAGGCCTCAACTTTCATTTGACAAAGAAATTTTTGCAAAACCCATTAGAAGTAGACTAAAAGAGGTCGACTGACAAAATTGAGAACCATCCACTAACGAGTCAAATATATACGAAGTAAGGATAGACAGTTCTGAACAGGATATCCTTTGATTTTTTTTTTGCAAAAAAAGAAGAGACACAAATAGAAGAAAAGAGAAAATACAAATTCTACACTTACGGCAGCATCGACATTAGCAGGACTTTCATCGTTAGGATCAGCAAGCATTGAAATTACTGAGATAAGTATAGTTTCAACCGTGTGAACTGGTAGCCATCGTTCACTGGCTTTTTCGTATCCCCATTTGTCATCACCGGGCTCATGAAGAATCGATATACAGACGTCTCCATTCCTTTCAATATTCGGATGCCATATTTCAGTCACAAATTTCATCCTAGGAGGTCTTAAAGGATATTCTTTGGGAAACAACAGATGTGCTTTGAAAAACCCGCCCTCACTGAAACAGTCACAAAACCATGATTTAATCAGATTATCAATTAAATAAAAGTGAAATTCCATTTTGAAAAGGCGCGATTGACCAAAACAAGCATAGGTTAATGAAATAGTTTATACAATGTTTATCTCCATGCTACTCACAAGATTTTTCATTTCAGTACTTACCTATCACTGGCTTGGTGGCTATACTTGCAGATGTTAGAGCTCGCGCATCGTACGTTGAAACAAACGTCAAAATAATGTTTATGTCACCATTCACCGGAGATGCCACCTGATTACATGGATTGAGCTGTTGAGTGGTACGAATTCAGAGCTAATCGAAGATTGATGTTTGTCTCCACATATGATGTGCAAGCTCGAGCTCTTCTACAGAAGACGCTCACCATATTGATGGCATAAGTGTGAAACCACTTGATCTCCTCTTGAGGTGTTGCAGACTTCCTGTCATACTTTATTTTTTCATGGGAAAACTGGTCAACATACCTACTTGATTTCACAAAAACTTTCAGTAGAATATTCTGTAAAAATTTCAAGCTGCAAAGTTGGCTTGTTTCTCTTTGAAAAAATAAAATAGGAGCGGAAATTTAGAAACACCACAATGGAGATACGTGGTTTTACACTTTGGCCATCTAATGAATAGAATTATAAAATCTTACTTAGTTTTCAAACACGGTAAATAAAATTTTGGCTTAGTCTTGTCTTATATTGCTAACATAGCGTTGATTGGTTTTGATAATCCCCCCTCAGCATGGAATCATCCGCCTACAGCTAACATAATAAGATTAATGCTAAACTTACTACAAAGTGTCCGGGGGTCCGATGATAAGGACTTCCCATTTGTAAATATCATTGTCATCTATTAAGCCTGCAGAGAATCCTTCAACTGGATTCTTATTTAGTTCTGAAAAACAGAGACAAAGAGAAATGTTAATTGTTGGGACAAAATGAAAAAAAGACACAATATTTGAACAAGACAAAGTAAGAGAGAAAAAAGGAGTATGCTGAATAATAGTACATTCATGCATCTCAATACGAACAAAAGTGAAAGTATGTAAGGCTCTGTCTGTGGTTACATTCACTAAAGATTGCTTATTGGTTGATGGAGAGAAGATAAGAAGAGGGCGATTGCTTGAAAAGCTCTCCTTAGGATATACACTTTTAATTCTTTCATTAATTACCCTGATGAGCATTAAGAAAAAAAATTGGCAGTGAGAGTCACCTGACGATAACAAACTGCTCACCACACTTGTATTCTGCCTACTTCTGTCATCAATGCAAAATCTCATCTTCTGACAGTACAGTATGCAGTTTATGGCTGACAGTGAGATGACTGCTCCAGATGTACACACTGCTCAAATTGTTCGGAGCGATAGGTCGTCAAAATTCATTGATGAACCCGGCGGTTCATGCTTGACAGCAGATGGCTTGCACAAACACTGGGAGGTTCAATGCACGTAGATGGAAGGGTGAATTTCAGCGGGTCTGATTGAATGCTGGAGAATTGAAAGCACTTTCAAGATGCGATCATCCATAAAATGGTTAACGCTCATTTGTTATGATGATAAATTTAGGTAGCAAGGTTAATATGGTGGGTGTAAGTGAGACATGGAAGAACGAAGATTAAAATCGGATTACAAAATGAATCGTAGACTCAAAGACACAAGTTAGAGTCAACATTCCGATAATGATCGAGTAAAATTTGTGTATGAAGAAAGGGATGGACTGAAAGGGATTGAGAGTCCACATTCTCGTGACAAAATAGGCTTCCCAATGCCGTCATCATGTTCGGTACAAAAGCAAGATAAAAGAAAAAGTAATGGATACTAGGGACATTTATCGTACCTGCTAATTGCTTCCGGAGTAAAAGGGCTGACTGTGTTTCTGACATTAATAAATACTTCTAATTTTCGTGATAAATAATACAAAATCAACGAGAAGTGACAGACAACCGCAAGAATGGTTAGGAGACGTCCGTACAAGTGGCGCTTGAATGTTTAAAACGGCTCAACTAGGAACTAGAGAGATTTTCTGTTGTCTGATTGTGCAGAATTTATTTATATTATAACCTGTAAAGCTAGTAAAAAAAATGTTTTCTTGCACTACCTGGCAGTTGCGCAGACTTCAATTCAAAAATTTCTTCTTTTTTTACAAAAAGGATTAATCATTGCATTGTATGGATTATTTCTGGCATTGTCTCCACGACGGGTTTTAACGAAAAGGTTGACTGAAAGGAAATTGAAGACAGAAAATTACGTGCCCACTCTAGATGGAATACACGGTACCTTGTTCGAAAAACTCAATGAAAAAGATCTATAAAATGCCTAGCAGAGGAGAGGGGGGAAAGATGGTTAAGAAAAAGTTGGAGCCCTGCATAATGAGCAGATATCTCAGTCCACTATGCCTACTCTAAGAAAAACTGATAAGAATTTTTGCTTCGGAGAGCCCTGTGTAAAAATTTTTGGAGAAAAATTTGCATATAAAAAAATTAAATAAAGAAGTAACTTAAAAAAAAAAAAACTAGTGTTCATTGAGGAAGTTCTTTTAAAACATTTCAAGTGCTAAAAAACAACAATAAATCTTTGAAGAGTTTTTCACCCTCCACTTGAATGTTAGGTACTTTTTGTAAATTTTTTAAAATTAATAAGTATTGATTCAATATGTCAGAAAATTTCATTAAAGTTAAATCCCGACATAAATCCTCCTGAAATTTTTGAATTCATTCTCAGAAGACGCAAGAGCTTAGTAGGTAACTCCTGGAAATAGTCAAAACTCGATGTTGTTGAAAATTAACTTATTTAAGCTAACCTTTAGAGTTCCTTGTCGAATAGTTGGTTTTTTTTTTTCCTGGCAACTAAAAACCTCATGAAATTTTAAGGAACTTCCTTTCGCCAAAACTAATTTTAAGAGAATTTGTAAGGTACCTCTTTGTTTGGCCGAGTTATTTTGAGGGACTAATAAAACCAGTTCATTGTTTTTTCAATCGGTTCCGTACCAAGTGTAAAGAAATTGTCACTTATCCCTTAATTTAGGTAGCTCTCCTGAGAGGTTTTATAATGGCTGCTCTACACACACAAATGATAGACTCAACTTGTGATATCGAACAACAACTTTATTCAGAATTGAGGCAGGTTTTATACATCAACAGTGACCACGACTTAAGGTCAGGCTAGGCGAGTGTTTACCAACGCGTGCATCATCTAAAAAGTAGGAAGGTAAATACGGAGGTAAACAAACGAAAAGCATTGAACTCAAGGCGTATCTCACACGAAGCGTAAGCAGGCGCTACACCCCCGCCCTTCAAGAAAAGGGTATAGTGGATGCTAGACACTTTTCTGTAGAGAGAAAAAAAAAGAAAAATTATACAAGTATTTAAAAATATGTTTTCTCTTCTTAAAAAAAAAACCTGCAAGTTGAAGGTTATAGAAAAGCTGTTAGAAAAAAGTATAATTAACAAATAAATGAAACTTGGAAATAAAAACATACCTTAGAAATTTCAGAAAAAAAAAATCTTATATACAAATTAAATGTATGGCATTAGCCTATTATTATGTACAGTCATTATTTTACCTTTCACTTCAATTTTTGTGTTGACGCCCTCGATTGCTACTACCTTATGGGGGCCAGAATAGACAGGATCCAATTTATGCCTATCTTCCAACCTGAGTTTTACTAAATCCCCGACGCGGAAAATGGCTGGAGTCACGCCTTCATTTGAAGTCGCGCAACGCCTCAATTTTTCCGAATGAAGTAAAGCACGGACCATCCTGTGTGCTTCCCGTAGACGTACTTTTAACTCCTCCGCGTATGAATCAGTGTATACAGGCGAAGAAACATTCGAACCCGGTAAATGCACAAAATTCGGCAACTTGCCGTAAACCAGTTCGAATGGCGTAAAATTAGTACTCACATGCGGAGTAGTATTGTATGCAAAGGCAAAAAGGGGCAGGATCCGATCCCATGCTGATCGAAGTGACGGGTCCTGCATACGCAAGAATTCATTTAATACTCTATGGCTGCGCTCGATCCCGCCAAGTGTCTGGTGGTGATATCCCGTAGAAGAGACATGTTGTACATTCAGCAACCCGGTAACTTTACGGAATACTTCGTTAACAAATTCGGAACCCAAATCGGTTCGCCACTTATGACATGCGCCGAAAATGCAGAAAAACTGCTCCACAATGGCTCTTGCCACAGTGACTGCCGACTTGTCAGGTATAGGTATCGCGTGAATAAACTTTGTTAAGCTGCACTGAAAAGTCATCGCATACCTAAAACCCGTTTCTGTGATAGGCAAGGGACCGACCAGGTCCATTTCTGTCACCTCAAAACTGGAGGACGGTGTATCAGTTACTTGCATCCTTTCATAATTGTGTCGAGTTACCTTGTTCAGCTGGCATTTTGCACAAGCTGATAGTTTTTCAGACACCATCTTCTGTAATCCGGGCCAATGAAATCGTTGGCTAATACGTTTTACAGTCTTCCACAGACCAAAATGTCCGTAAATATCATTGTGAAATAACTCTATTATTCGGAGTTGCTCAGCGCGATCAGTGACCCGTACCGGCGGAGAGTAGAGTAAAATACATATAGGTACGTCGAAAGCCGCGATCATTTTCTTGAAATTTTGGACGGTTACAGTCTGAAATATTTCGTCGGTTAAGGCCAAACGCAGACGTAACTTACCGAACTTATCTGCTAACGACTGCATACAAATTTGTAAATAAACTGGGAGTTCATTAGCATCGCGTGTTGACAAGGTCACGAGAAAATTTTTTCCCGTTTTACGCACGTCAGCATTTTTGCTTTGTCGCTCGTCAATCGCATTTTTAAAAACAAAACGAAGTTCTGGGAGGGAATGCACGCCAGCAGGTGACGTCGCGTCCCACACTCTAATCCGGCCGTGATCAGAGCGCGGAATCGAGTCAGCCTGGCTCTGCACATTACTCTCCTTGGTCAATTGTTTACTCATAGAGCGAGTAACAACATCGATTTTAACGTCATCATTGGGTATTAAACTTTTTAAGTACGCGGTGTCAATGACAATACGAGAAAGAAAATCAGCCTTGTTATCTTTTCCTGGGACGTACTTTACCTGGAAATCAAACTCCATTAATTCGAGGCGAATACGATTTAATTGCGATGTTGGGTCTTTCATTTTAAAGAGACTGACCAAAGGGCGATGATCTGTAAACACGGAGAAACGGCGCCCAAGCAAAATATGACGCCAATTTCTCAAGGCAAAGTGAATCGCGTATAGTTCTCGAATCGTTGTGTCTTTTTTCTTTTCGTGTTTATTTAACGTTCTACTTGCAAATTCAACTGGTTTATCTCGGCCTTTTTCATCGAGTTGTGACAAAATTGCCCCGAGACAATATAATGAAGCGTCACACGTGACCCGAAATTCTTTTGAATAATTTGGGGGCTGAAGTACTTGCGGGGAACTCAAAAACTTTTTCAGATTATCAAAAGCAGTTTGCCTTTCTGGAGTCCACTCCCAAGGTACTCCTTTGCGAAGTAATTCATTGAGAGGACGGCAAAGTTCTGCAAAATTCTCTTTACAAAATTTTCTGTAATAATTACAAAAGGCGATAAATCTTAAGAGGGATTTAGGATCGGTTGGTTCTTTATAATCACGAATTAAATTGAATTTTCGAAAATCAGGTTTTACGCCATCAGCGGAGCAGTGATGACCCAAAAAGAAAAGTTCGCGTTTAAAGAATTCACATTTGTCTAAATTAAGTTTCAAATTAAATTTACGCAAACGTTCCATTACGCGACGAAGATTACGCACTAAAAGGCGTAAATTAGGTGCCCAGACGCATATATCATCAATAAAAACGCTGCAAATATCTTCAAGACCGGCAAGTGCAATTGACATCATACGCTGAAAGCTGTTTGGGGCTACTTTAATTCCATAAGGAAGTCTTTTAAATTGGAAATGGCCCTTTTTACAACTAAAACTAGTGATAGCTCGCGAAATACCAGGTTTGAGCGGAACCTGCAAAAATCCAGACTTTAAATCTAGTTTAGCCCAGACTTTAGCTCGACCCATTTGATCCATAATTTCACTTACGTGAGGGAGTGGGAATGCGTCCCCACAGATTTGTTCGTTAACTTTCCGTAAGTCAACTACCAACCTGGTTTTGCCGGGCTCTCCAGCCTTGGGCACAAGGAAAATCGGCGAGTTCCAGGGGGATATGGATGGCTCGATGATGTCATCCTTTATCCAAGAATCAATGTGGGCGTTCAAATCGGCTTTTTGAGCCTCTACAGGGCGATAATTTTTCGAGCATACCGGTTTTGGATTTGTTACGATTATTTCTTGCTCATAAAAATTATTGACTGTCAGGGTATCCTTTGGAAGGTGAAAAATATCGTTAAACTCTTGACAAAGATTTGTCAGGGGCTCAAACTCCTCTAAAGGAAGTCCCCCAAGGTTTTTCCGAACTCTTTCACCCACCAAGGCTTTGCGTTCTGAATCAGAGTGACCGCTAATAAAATTTACCCGACAAAAATTATTTAAAGGCTCATGCAATAGAGTTAAATGAGTAAATTCAGCAGGTTGATCGGTTTGATTAATCAATTTTACATATTGATTACCTACCGAAGGTATGATCGAATTTGCAACTAACACACCAGCTGAGATTTCGCATTCGTGCACCACGCTATCTTCACTCAGATTTAATTTGACTGGGCGTATAACTTCAGAGCGAGGTGGGACTACGATTTTTCTTACATTACATCTAGTTTCACATTTATCCGAAATGGGTAGCTCAAATAATTTTTTATTTACACGAAGATTTAATGTCCAGGTTTCAAAATTTAATATACACTTAAATCTAATAAAAAAATCTCGACCCAGTATTCCGTCGCTACTTATTGGAAAATTTTCATCTACAATATGTACTTCATGTTTAATGTCTGTAAAGTCATCAAGTTTTATATTCATCAACAAAGTACCTAAAGTGTAACGGGAACCTTCACCAATACCTGAAACTTTGAGTTTTTGTAGAGTAAAATATTCTTGACCTACATGGACGCTAGATATTTTTAAAAATGTTAAATCTGATCCGGTATCCGCTAAAAAATTTAGTTTAGATTCTGATAAATTAGTCCTAAGATTTAAGTAATTGACTTTATTACCCAGTTTTATGGTGTAAGTGGAACTTCCTCTGATGCCGCCGCTATAGAGACGTTGGTACGATCCTTCGGCGGGCGCTGTCCGTTTTTTGCTCCTCGGCCTCGGTAGCCCTTGTTTCCACCACGATGATTATTTTGACTGTTTTGACCCCGCTGGTTGCTGTGAGCTTGGTAACTGTTCGAAGAATCCTCCTTGGATTGACTTTGGTTGGATTGGTTGTATCCTCCTCTGTAGAATTGGCGTCTCCGGTAACCACGTCTGGTCCACTGCTTCTTATTGATGTAGTTCACTTGTGCTGATGTTCCTTCAAACGTAGCTAAACCAGATTCTGCATTCAGGGCTGTCTCGACTGCTTCCGTAAAGGTCTTTGCTGTTGAAGCGAGTAGGACTTTCTTTAATTCAGCGTTTGCTCCCATCTTCAGAGTATTTAGGGCCAGAGTATCGTTTAGGGTCGTGACTAGTTTTCGAGAGGCCTCACCATTTTCCTCAATTTGCAGTTCGGAGAGTTGGCTGATCAGGGCTTCGATTTCAGATGCGAATTTTTCAACCGATTTGTCGCTCTGTTGCAAAGCTGCTAACTTGCGCTGAATTGACGCCGTAGTAATTTTTGGTTGGAAACGGTCTTTGATGGCTTTTGTGAGAGCAGTAAGGGATGATGTGGCACCGAGTGTAGCTGTTTTGGCTGTTCCACGCAATTTTACTTTCGTGAGGTAGAGCAGGAGGCTGGCTTTGCCATCCTGGCTCAATGTGTCGTAATAATATTTTACACAGTCTAAGAAGTCACGTGTTTTTGAAGGATCTCCGTCGAAATCCGGAATTATGGAGTTGGCAGTTTTTATCTCGAAATTCATACTTGCTTTTATTTTGGTTTCGATGTCCTCCTTCGGAAGGTTTTCGATTAAAAATTTTCGGCACTTTTCATAAAATGTTCGCGTTTCCTCGGTAACTTCACCTTGTTGCTCAAGAAGCCACAATCGTTCAAGTAATATCAATTTATCAGAAGCTTCTTTGGCTCTTCTGTTTACTGGGAGTTTAAAAACATTACCCGTAAAATTTAGGAATTCTGATGACATCGTACTACTATGAGGAGTTTTCTACGCGAACGCTCACAAGTGTTGTTTCTACAGCCTTTAGACGTCGTTCCATTTTCTTTGCCCAATTTAGAACTCGTTTCACGAATGTGTACACCGCAACGCTTATTAAGACGCACAACATTAAGGTGAAAATTCCATATTGTACGGCATCATGGTCCACGACACTATCTTTATTTCCCGCGGCCACAATTACGGTTTCACTGTTAACATTTTTAACTTCCTTGGAGAACCATTTCCCCAAACTGTTCGCTTTGCGCCAGAAGTTCTCCCAGGAAGGCATAAAATATTAAAGTTAACACGCGCACTTGAATGTTCTTCTCCGAAGGCGTTTGTAGATTCGGAGCACGGTCGCCATATAATGGCTGCTCTACACACACAAATGATAGACTCAACTTGTGATATCGAACAACAACTTTATTCAGAATTGAGGCAGGTTTTATACATCAACAGTGACCACGACTTAAGGTCAGGCTAGGCGAGTGTTTACCAACGCGTGCATCATCTAAAAAGTAGGAAGGTAAATACGGAGGTAAACAAACGAAAAGCATTGAACTCAAGGCGTATCTCACACGAAGCGTAAGCAGGCGCTACAGTTTATTCCGTTTATTTGAGATGTTGTGCAAGTGGTACTTGGAGAAATGAAAATATATAATTATAGAGCACCTCGGCATGAATCTGCACAGGACAAATGGCCTGAGTTGAATACTGCTGTGCTGAGGAAGAACCGTAAGAATTTTCAAACATTGCCAAATTTCCCTCGATAAAAAGTTCATGTTTGAGGACAGTTACAAATATTTTTCCTTGAAATTTTCAAATACTTTAGATTGAATTGCAAACAAAATTGTCTAAAAAATTTGAAGAAAAATATCCACAGATAACCTTGAAGGTTCATATTTCATCAAAAGAAATTTAGCAATGTCTGAGGGCACATACTGCGTTCTTCCTTAGTACGGCAGAATAGAGGAACCAAGACACATTTTGTAGAAAAATAACTTTGGATGTATTTTCAAGCGTGTCCACATGACACATTTTCTCCTGGTGAAAAGTCACAGTAATGAGAAAATGTTTTGAATAAGAGAATTTTTGTAAAACTTATTAGACTCTGAGATTGAATCTTATGAATGAATAAGACTTCCAACCCATCCTTCTCGGATCGATCTTCATGTGACTTGATTCCTTTTTGTTAAAAGTGATCCAAATAATACAGGTGAAACTGTAACAATCTCAGATGAAGGCTAGAAAAAAGTATGAAACTGGCTAGCTGATAGCATGTATCATTATGCAGACTTGTCATATTTAAAACGAACGATAAGAATGGTTGGCAGTTCCAAAATGAGCTTTCGCAACCAAAGTTAATAACAAAAAGTTTTATATTCATTCAACAGTAAAATTATAAAAAAAGGAATTATATACAGAACAGAAGAGAGTGATCGGTTACATCAGTATTGTCTACTCCTATCGATATCAGAAATGGATTTTACATTTTTTAAGATACGAAATTGACAAAACGCAACTTACAGAGGTATAGGGATACTAATCCAACTTTGAACAAAAGTTCAGTCAGTTTATTAATTCATTCACAAAACTAAGTAAGTAAATCAAACACAGGAGATAGTGAATTTGACTAGCATTGTTCCTCCTTAGTTAAGCGATTAGAAAGATGCCTTTAAATGATAAACTCTGAATTTCAATTCAATTAAAGTTCACATTAAACAAAAATTGGTCAATTTTCAAATTTCAAAGTTAAGTCATTCGATTCAAAGGATTGATATACAATTTTACTGACTACTTCCAAAGAGCTGCTGCAGAGTTTAAAAAATGAAATTCCTCTACGTCTCCCTGGTTTCTCAGTCACATTTTGATTCATAGCATAATTCCCTGACAATTTAAGATATGCCAGATTATTGAAAAGATGCTGATAATACAAAAGGTTCAATTTGGAATAGTTTTCACACAAAATCTGCTTTTCAAAACGTCAAACCCATTTTATAAACCAAATGAGGTGACTCAACAATTTTTCCTTGACACTAATCATCATATCCCCTGACATGTCCCGGTATCCTAAACTGTGGCAGTACTGTCTCTATGCCACAAAAGCTTTATCTAAACACTTCACTAACACTGTCTATTTCATCCAGATGAACACTTAAAAGCAAGGCATCATTGCTAAGAAGGATGGAAACTTTACAGAGAGTGGTGGCAGTTGGTTTAGTTTCCCAGTAAAAAAATAAAGATTCCTTCCAAATGAGTTGTACAACTGATAAATTCAGAATTTCTGCATTCTAAAATGGCTTGCTCGTAACCTACTACAAGAATCAAATTTCTGACCACTTCTAACGTTATTCTGTGACTGCAAAAATGAAAAAACAGGCTTTTGTCAAAAATGAAAAGACAAGCTATGAGAATAAGAGAGTATCTTTGTTACAATTTTGAAACTGCAGAAATGCGTAATTCAGTTTGCAGCATTGCGGACTTCAGTCATAATTTCTTTTCCACATGGGAAACTACTTATCTTTATTCTTTGAAAAAATTGGTGATTTTTCTTCTCTACAAGAAAAATATTCTGAGAGAATTTCCAGTCATGATGTCCATTTGGTCTCCTTTAAAAAATGAAATATAAGCAGAGGTTTTGAAACATCTGAAACAAGATACGCATTTTTGCAGTTTCATTTATGATACCCGAGTTAAGAAACGAATACAACCTAATCAAAAACCAGTATCGGGGAAAAAGACACAAATTATGACTCTACGTTACTCCCTAGACTCACGTAATTCAGATAGATGGGAGACCTTTGAGGCATAACCTTGAACACAGAAACTCCAGAGAATTTCCTTAAGTTTACCGTAAGTATAAGNCCATCCATCAAGTTTATTCGATAGTTTAACATGCAGATTATAGGCTTCTAACTCCAAACAAGCTCTTTTTTGGTAAAACTTTGAGATATTAAATTGCAAGACTTTCCTCCTTACCGCTTTCTGGAAACTTCCAATCTGTTCTAGAACTTTGTTGAGTTTGTTTAAGAATTTTGGAGAGACATCTTTTTATAGGCACAAATTTAAGAAATGGATATCAGCCGATAGATTCTTAATCTTCATCTTGTAGCTAAAATACTTGTCAATCTCGGGTAAGTGCAATCTTAAACCCTCGTCATTATTGTTCAAATTCTTAAATCTAGGCACCATGTAGATAAAATTGGAACAAATCATTGTTACCTGCACAAAGGAACATATCTTGATTACGCTGTTTCAGTATTTCTAACTTATAATTTATTTGTTTAAAGGAGGTAAATTTCTATTAAATTCGATTCTCCTGTGAAAAAATAAAATGTTTGTGAGAATACTAAAACGATGCAAAAGAGATACCTTCCTTCACGAGTAAATAAAATAAAATAAACAATCCTATTTCTGCTCATAGAAGACTCTTCTACCGACTCTTTGAAAATAACCAGTTGAACAGTTCCAACTTTAATGATTCATAGTAAAGACATCGATTTATGGATTTGCACTGAAGCTGTCAATGAGTTCAATAGATGATTTAAAATGTTTAATCTGGTAAACTTTGTGCAAGCGAGAACTCAAAGCCATTATACATGAAGAAACTCTGGATGATGATGACTACACGCCACGTCAATGAAAAAATCACCTCCTTACCCCATAATTACTGCTATGGTCGACATTAGCTTACAGAGATCATATTCGCACAAAATTTAGCCATTTTGGCTTGCTAGACGAGCTGCTTTTCGCTCTAAATATCGCTTTAAGGCATCGTCAAAGACTTGGCCCACAGTTCGTTTCTCCCAGATGTCAATTTTAACAACTTCTTCCATTTGATTTTCTTTATCCTCCGAATTCTCAACATCCACATCATTTACTTTTTTAACATTAGATTCTGCTCCATTTTCCTTCTCGACAGACTTAGATGATTTGCGAACATTCTCAGCTGTTTTTTCTGTTTTATCTAATTTTGTTCGCGGCTTTACATCTGGAACAGAATTTGTCTTGGACGAGGACTTTTTCTCCGCCTTCTTATCACTTTCTATAATTTCGCCTTCTTCGGAACCGCTTGTTAGCCGAACATCGTTTGACTTCTTTCCGCCAACTTTTGCCGATTCACTATCGGACTCGGAGCTTGATGAGGAGGAGGAGCTCGAAGAGCCAGATGATGAGGACGATGACGATATATCAGTGTCAGCATCTGGGTTTGCAGGCCCTGAGTTGGCAGACTTTGATCCTGAGGTCTTCTTTCTTGTAGCGTTACGTTTTTTAGCCTCTTCTTCGTTGCTACTTGAAGAGGAGGACGAGGATTTTCGTTTCCGATAGTGTCTACTCTTAGCTGGGTTCTTACTCAGAGGAAACGATTCTTCGATTTCTTTTTCCATTTCAGGACTTTTAGAACCGCTGACTCGACTGGAGTTCTTTGTTTCCGGACTAATAGCTTCATCTTTGGCAGATTTGGAGTCGTTGCTGGAAACGGTTGATTGATAGAGGTGGCGATAGAAACCACTCAAATCCTTCTGCTTTGTCACATCGCCAATTTCTGAAACAAGGAAAGAAACAAGGGACCATTATTTTACATTTCTGCGATTAAGTGAAGCGATTTCAATTGAAGATATGCCCTGGGGCGATTCCTACGTGTCTTGTTTTTAGTTAGGAACAGACAATTGGATGTATTTAAATCAAAAGGAACTGTATTTAGTGTGACATGAGCCGTTTAATGCATATATTCTTATGGATCTCAGGGCTCATGTTAGGATGGATATAGTTCCTTTTGATTTAAATGCATCAAATTAGTATAAATCACAGTGGACTCAGATGAGTTAAACTCAAAAAGATACTTTGTTTATAATTTTCTTTTGTTTCTCCTAAACACTAACGTATTGATCCCTCAACACCTCTCACAAGGATGCATGATGAGTGGCTATTTCTGATAACAAAAACTTGGGAAGGGAAAAACTTAAACTCTACTCAGACCTTCAAAAGAAGGAGTTCCTAAGACTTATAGGAGGGGATAATGCATGCATGAGAGAAGTAATGCTAACTCGTTCTGACTCCTGCCATTTGAGCAGGTAGCAAGTTCATTTGGGAGTAACGAGCTGACTCATTTTCTGATATTGAGAAGTGATAACTTCTTTTATCATTTCAATCTTACGTTCTATTTGGTCTAATTCCTGGAGTTGACACTGAAATTGTAATTCATGTGTACAAGTTATATACTTTTTTCCAGGCTTATTGACATCATACTTTGTTTTCTGTCTGTTTTCTATTATAATCTGCCCTCATTGGTGATGTAATCTGTTTAGGAGAGCCTATGTTTCTTTTCCACTTTCACACGGGAGGATGCAATAATGTATTTTCTTCAGAAAATACACTGAAATAGTCTCTCCTTAAAAGTCCTTTGATCCTTTCTTCATTCACTTTAATTAAATTTGTCTAGAATTTCTTTCAAAATCGTGACATTAAAATCTCTGATGTAAAAAAGTTAAGGACATTTACTTAAAGCCTTCTTCTCTATTGACTCCTCAGGACCTAAAACTGCTAATGGGTCAGCTACTGGGCATGAGAGGTCCAGTTCTGATTCTGAAGAGCTGGATTGGGTTGATCCCAGGTATTTATTTCTTTCGACGATTCTCTCCTCTTCATTCTTCACTATGTCATTCTGTGCTCTTGATATTTCATGGGTGACGTTTTGCAAGGTGAATGGAGCTTTGGATTTTTGAGGTTCCTCATTGATTAGTGATACAGGTGGCGGTTCTGTTGGTGTTACTTCATGTGTACGGGTTTGAGGTTTCGACTGAATTGCAGATTTGTCATCAAGTGAGGGACAGTTCTGAAGGGTTGATTCCTTTTCTCTTGCAGGTTCAATAGCCGGTTCTCTAGGGGTTGCCGAAGAAAGAGCCAGAAAATTTTTCGGAGAAGTGTCTAGATTTGCATCTATTGTCGAGCATGCTTGCTGTGATGAAACTTCCAATAACTCAGATGCATCTGTTGCCTTCCTTTCAAATACATTAATAAGTTCTTCCCGATAGTGTTCAAAAGCAATTTCACAATCTTCTAATGTGATTTCTTCGTCATTTTTATCGACTGACGATGGTTTGACAACTAGCACTAAGTGTTTACAACGCTCACAACACCAACCAGCTTTATTATGACAGCAGTTAAATTCATAAAAATTGCGAATTTCCTCATTAAGAGGGTTGCACTTCCTACACTCATGAAAATGTTCTGCAAAATGTTCACATTTAAACGTGTCAAGAACTACATATTTGAAGCTCATATTGCAATAGTGAATAGGTACATTTTTAATCAACAGCAACTGATTAGGACAGATGATAAGAAGCACTTGTCTTGCACTAAGCACTGCTCATAATGAGCTCTCAGATGTACTTTCCAAGGCTTGCTCAAGCAAACAATAGATTTTTCTCATCACTCAAACAGAGGGCATTGAGGTAGATATCAGGAATTTATTCTTCTTCTTTTATAATAGCCACCCGGACAAAAATTCATCGAAAAGTTGGAGTGACTAAAGACACAGTTGAATTATAGCTTGAAACTGTCTGATTTACTTGTCATCATTAATAAGTCACTGGAGTCTAGGGAAAAAGACTGTGGAACAAAACAGCGAAGAGCTGATGATCGACGAGAGATTTGATGCTGCTAGTCTTGAGCCCAGCTTACTCCTAAATTTTCCCATCACAGTATCAGCTGAGATCTTTAATTTCAAGGTGTTTTCATCATGATTTTATGGACACACACACTGGAGTAGAGCTGAACTGTTATCATGTCCTTTCATTGGAATCCAGAGCATTTGTATGACAGGATTCAGCAATTCAAATTGATTCATCATTGGGAATCCCATGTTAAATGTCCAGTTTCAAAGCCTTTTTTAAAAATATGAATTTCCTTCAAAATTAAAAAATAAAACGTCTATTCCAAATGAAATAAATGAATTTCATTCCTTAAAAAACTGTTTCATTGCTTCAGAATGAATATAAAAAAAGAGGAGTGTGGAAATCTCGTCAACTGAAATCCATCCGGAATGGGGAATCCCATGTAAGATACTCGTTCTTAGAAAATTATTAAAAAAATACATTTAATTAAAATGAAAGAAATGAGAATGCACAATCTGACCTGCATATTATAATTAAATGTACACTACGGCAGCCCAAACTCAGATATAAAATAGGACAAGATAAGACAGGGACGAGGCTAAAAAAAACACAAAATTCTACAAAACACGGGACGTTATCAACCGGCGGAAAAGAATTTTTTTTTTCTTTTTTAATGGTTGATAATGAGCGAGGACCCGTTGAAATGTCCTGTGTTTTGTAAATTATTGTGTTAGCCTTGTGCCCGCCTTTTCTTGTCCTATTTTACATTATAACTGATATGAAGGATAAATAAAATATTAGGGGCAAATTTCCTATTTTTGTGGAAAAACTCCTAAATAAGATGGTTGACATCTTGATTTGTAACCTGCCTATCATCTCAGAATGTTTCCTGTACTATCAAACTAAGGGTACAATTGTCACTTAATATCCTGGTCCACCAGGGGATGAAAATTAAGGAATGGTACTATTTTTGAAATAAACCGTTAAGAGAATGATGATCGCTCCTCTCAAATTGGTATGGTAATCCAATTAGGGATATGTTGTGCCACACGGTAACAGTTATAAAAAGATTGCTAGACATTCACTTTTTTACCTTCGAGCATATCTTGTCTTCTTTCTGCTTCATCCAATTTCTTAAATTCTTCCAGTTTTTTCCTGTACGCAGAGGTGACAAATGTTTCTTTGTCTTTGTACATTTCCCCTTCAGCCTCTCGTTCTTTCTGAATGAGCCTTTCGTTCCGGTACTCGTTTTCCCGTTTTCGCTTTTCAGCTTGTGCCAACAATGCTTGAATATACCTTGGCTGGATCAGAAAGCAACATTCATTAATGAGACAGTTGTAAACAAGATGTATAAGTATAAAACAATGCTAGGTAACATAATGGTTCAGACTGGCTATTTGAAGTGATGCTTCTTTTGTCTGGTCTACAAATACTTTTTAGGTATCTGATAAAAAAATGGAGAAAAGCAATCTACATGAATAAGAACCACTTACTTGCTCTCTTATCCTGCAGATCTTGAGTGACTGCACAGTGCTTCGTTTAGTACCATATACCTACCACATGCTACCACTGCTTAGCCAACTTTTCTTATTTTCTTTCTACTGCAATCAATGCATTACATTTAGGACAACAGTTGTGCAAAAGAACAAAATGTGACACATCTGAGCAAAACGTTCTGAGTTACATGAAAGATTTTTTATGGAATGATCTCTGTCATTAGCTGATGGATGAAAAGAAAAGAACAAAAAAAAACAATGCTTGAAACGACAAAAAGTGGGCGACCAACCTTTTTTTCAACATCTTTCTTCGCTTTAATGGTTTCCACTTTTTTTGACTGCATATCATCGTACACTTCATCGTACTGGAATACACTGGGGTCCTCTTCCATAGCCTTGTCTAATTGTGTTTTCACTGCTCGCTTTTGATGATTTTTCTGCGCTTCTTTCTGTAAACGTAAACAGGAGAATTTATTGTTGGAGGCCTCTGTGAAATTTTAGTTTCTTCCATAATTGAAAATAAGAAAATTCTTTGAAAATGGGTCACTTTGGCAAACAAATTTTGTTGCTTCAATTAACACTACTGATTACTTAAGAAGCGTCATACCGAAGACTATCAAATCAATTAATCTCATGGCTTCTCCTCAAATCAATGCATCATCATAATTTTTTAAATAATCTGCCTGAACAGAATCATTGAAATTACTTATTCAAGGAATCACGCGTTAAAATAAATAATCTGGTTATTTCTGTTGTTAGGTATACAAAATTTCCTGTCCTCGTCCATCTGCAGTCTTGTTAGCTTTACGTACAAACTATTACAAAATTATCATCTCTCTGCCTCTATTTTCCTCTGTTCTTTCTCCTTCGTACTTCTCCATTTACATAAAAAAAAATGAGGAATGGAAACATTTAAAAAATTTCATCATGAGGGGTTAAGCTCCTTGAGTTTAAAGCAATATACACAAATCTTAAATAACAGATTAAGTAAAATGTAAAAGTTTTAAGCTTAGGATATTATTGATGGTTCATTTGTGATGAATCATAGAAAACCCTAGTTCTGAGAGCCAAATTTTCAAAGGCAGCTATTGATTTAAAGTAGGCTTGGACGTCTGTACTTTAATTTCCAGAGGAAAACACTGCCTGGTATTCCAAAGAATCCATTGCCACTATCTCAGTTTGTGCTTAAAAACTGAAAAACAATCTGAACTGCATGTCCATTATATTTACCTGAGATACTGTGAAGACTCAATACTGATGGCAATGGGTGGGACAGAATACTATGCTGGAAAGCATGGGCCAGTTATTTTTTGTTCCCTCCGAATTTTCAAATAGCCCATTGGTTAATCCCACGCTCCTTAACCCAGCCTCAGGTGACCATTGCCGAGACTATCAAACTCAGATCGCCAGGCCAGGAATCAAACCCGGGACCCCTTAGTCATAGAACTAGCGCTACAACCACTACACCACAGGAAGCTGACAAGACTGTCTTGTCAGTTATGAAAAGAATGGGAGTTAAGTGGGGGCAGAGGTAGCAGGAATGGTGGCTGTAGCTCACTAAGGAGTTCTTGTTATCAAATTTTCATGTTTGATCATTTTTCTTTCAATTTAAAACGAAATTCTGCTACTTTTTACCACTTACATTCCAGTTTTTAATCTTGAAGCTATGGAAATTAGCTATTACCTATCTAGTTAAATGAATTAGGTGTCAGACTTTTGCATGATACAATTTTCTGACTTGTGTTAAGGTGATTTGTCAAGCTCAAGTGACGTGGTCAAACTGGCATGCGATACATCGCATCGATTAGGTCAAAAATCTCGGCAGATTTTGAATTTTTAGCAAAACATAGGACGATAGCCCCTGCGCATACGCCTAAAGAATCATTCTAAACCCAAAATTTGGCAAAATTCAGAGAAATGAAAGCAGCGTAGTATTTGGAAAAAAACCTTGCTTTCGATTCAGCAATCGATTTCTGTATCGAATGCGAGATTTTTTTCCCAAACGCTATTCTGCTTTCAATTCTCTAAATGCCGATTTTTGGATTTAGAATGATTTTTTACGCTTGTGTGCAAGGGCTATTGTCCTTTTTTTTGCTAAAAATTCAAAATCTGCCAAGATTTTTGACCTGATCCATGTGATATATCGCATGCCAGTTCCACCACTTCTTTTGAGCTTGACGAATCACCTGAATGATGAATGGACACTGGTTGCATTCGATTGATGGAGTGTGTCAAATTTCATGAAGGAAGAGAAACAATTACTGAAAAAGGAAGATAAAAATCTTTGACACTCCACCTTTATTTTGACAATATGCGACAGAAAATACTGATGGAAAATTACCTGGTATGATTTTTTGATCCAGTCTGTTTGAGACATATCGGGAGCATCATTGGAGTCACTATCCTCATCAAACACTGATGGTCTTTTGAGAGGCTGGCTGGCTTGCTTTGGCTTGATGAGGCCATACCTGAAAGCAAGAAGAGGAGAATAATGAACCCAACCTCACCCTCTAAGAGTCAGCGCCAGATAAATTTACCCACTTTCAGAGTGCTACAGAAGATCCAGTATCTTGATTTATGTGCTTGGTTTAAATGCTCAACTGAAGGTGGCTGATCTACTGTCACACTCTAAACTGTATAAACTTAGTTGGTATCGACTCCAACTCCACTAAAATCTACAAGAGATAAGGATATTTTAATAATATTTGAGTGATTAATTAAGGTGATTCGATGGACGCCATATTTTGTGCCAGAACGGCATGCGATATCAATTGGTTCCATTTTTTTAGCTATTCGTCATTTTTCTCAAATTTGAGATCGCAATTCTGTTGTCAGGAGACTAAAGCACTCACTTACCAATTTTAACAAAGAAATTCAATGTACTTAATGAAGGCGTGGTTTTTTTTAGAGAGAAAACATCGCATTCGATACTGATATCGAAACTGCACTGGAATGCAAATTTTTCTCTCTGAAAAAACCACGCTTTTATTACGTTGAATTTCTTTGTTAAAATTGGTAAGTTAGAGCTTTAGTCTCCTGACAACAGAATTGCGATCTCAAAATTCGAGAAAAATGACAAGTAGCTGAAAAAATGGAACCAATTTATGCGATATATCACATGCCATTCTGACACAAAATATGGCGTACATCGAATCACCTTAAGTTCTAGTTTGCTAAACAAGCTCAGTTTTACAAGTTTCTGTAGTAGAGGCAGCTTGAAATTCCGTAGGTCACACTTAAAACACTAGAAGGATAGAGTTGATAATATATAGGAAAATTGTGAATTTTGACAGTGTAAGTCTGCAACCACGTATCTCATATACGGTGTTTAAAAATCTATTCTCCTATTTTATTTTCGTAAAAGAGTACAAATTGACATCATTCCTTGAAGTTCCTACAGGATTTTCTCCGTAAAGAGAGAAAAAATCACAGCAGTCTTTAAAAACTCTTGTCAAGTAGTTTTCCATTTAAAAAATAAAGTACGACAGGAAGTCTACAACATCTTATATAGAGATACGTGGTTGAGGACTACACTGTCGATTTGCCAAAATATGGCCTTCTCAAATCAGCGCAAGTTATGTTTTCACGCTTTGTTTTTAATTTACTTGTGATGAAACAACCTTCTGAGACCTTCTGAGTGTAAAATTTAAAAAATGCTTACTTAGCATGCCTCTCAAGTGGAGAACCTATTTTCAACCCAAAATCGACGACATTTTTCAAAAAATGTGGAGGATTTTGGATAATGTTTTAAAACTTCCCAGAAACAGTAGGTACTTGTAGGCGACCACACAGTTTAAAATGGGAAAAAGTTGGATAAAAATGTGTAAGGAAATGAAATGAGCTCATGTGCACTTTAGATGGATTTATAACGCATATACAGAGGCACTGTCCACCTCCACCGATAGCTGAAGAAAAGAAGCGAGTCGCTACTTACTGTTTGCCTGCTGACATTTGAGTTGCGGTGATAGTCAGAGACTGTTAGTAGTGAGGACAGCAAGTAAAGCAGGAGCTAAAGCCGGATTTCAGAGGATCGCACACTCATTAAATAGAACACTGTAAAAGGTTTACAAAAAACTCAACGTACTCAGAAAGAAAAATGCAAGCATTGCAATTCGCATGGAGAAGGAATGTAAACAAAAACGTCACCCGCAAGGAGGTTAGGTTAGACCCCGTTGCCATATGTCAGTAAAAACTTGAAATTAAAATAAGATAAGATAATGATAGACTGGGGGCCCAAAAAAATTTTTGGTGGTAAATTTTAATAATAAGAAAAATTAACCAAATTTTTCCCTGACGAGTGACAAGTAAGTGAACTTCGAGAAATTAGTAAATAGGAATATACTGTTCAAGCTGACAATCTTGGAAGGAGGAAATAATCCCAAAATGAGAAGTGATAAAGGTTAGGTCGCAGTTTACTTTACTTTAGTAAAATCAGTTATCAATTTTTTTTGTAGTTTTCTGCAGTCGGCTGAGAGCTAAGAACAACCTCTCAAATAACGCAAATTTTGGAACTTGTGATCATTCTCAATGTCGCGAAGAATCTTCCTCTGACCATCAACCTCAGGATTTTATCTTGTTTTTGTACGCATGAGAATTGTCAAGATTACATCAACAAGTTTTACTGCGGTGACGTTTTAGAAATTAATTTTTTATAAGCACTTTTACGAGAAGAAACTCCTACATATTTGATTTGAGGAGTTTGATGTTTAAAATCTTTGTGATTTTCTTGCCGTCAGTTTCTTCCGAAATCACAATCGCTATAATCCACTGAGACATTCATGGTGCGTTTTCAAGATGCCAAATATATGAGCTTTTGAAAGGTCTCTTGGCAAGAAGTATTCCTCACACTCCACTGTTTGGTCCAAACTATGACCAGTCATAATCTTGGCCAGAAACGTTTTTTTGTAACTCCGCCTGAGAAGGGTGTTTTTCCCCTTGATCATGAAGCTCAGTGCAAGCGTGCCATGCTGCAGTACATGATCTGCCTGCAGAAAAATGATAACAGCGGCTCAGCTTGCCGTGTGGAATCCAAAGAATATTTAGAGTGCCGGATGAAGAATAATTTAATGGCAGAGGAAAGTTGGTCATTTCTGGGTTTCAGTGATCTTGAAGAGAAGAGTAAATCATCTTAATTCGGTAGTCAGTCATTTACTTTACTCCATCACAGTCGTTTCACCTCTATTATTCTCATATACCCATGCCATGGAAAAGAAAATATTGCTATGTTGCACTGGCAGTGTCGCCACCATTAAAGCGGAAGAACTGATTGAAAAATTTGAAAATCAAGGCTTTAACATCAAGGTTGTCTTGACCAATGCTGCCAAACATTTCTGTAGCGCTGAAGTCATCCAAGCAAAAAAAGTTGATGTGTACACTGACGAAAATGAGTGGGAAATGTGGAAAGATCGAGGCGATCCTGTGTTGCATATTGATCTTGGAAAATGGGCTGACATTCTTGTGATCGCACCGTTAGACGCCAACACTCTCGCTAAAATATCACAGGTATGAGCTCAATGATTCAACTAAAATTTAGATATTAGATTAGCTAATGGTTGAAAGAATGTATTCTCTGCAAGGTCTTTGTGTTCAAAATACACCTAGATGATTTTCTTCTAAAAAAAGCAGGGAAGATCTACAATGGTGCAAGCTCTTAGTTCTGCACAGACACATTCTCCAGCTTTCAAAGAATTCTTCTTGTTGAGGTTGAAACAGCCCCATAATATCAAATCATGGAAAAGTTTACTACGTAGGTAATGAGATACATTCTTTATGACCTTAATATAAACTTATGACCAGAATATAAACCTTTGACTTATCCTATAAACATTTAATCAGGAATATATTGAAATAAACATTTAAAAAAGGGTCAGCAAGTAGGAAAAATTATCCTTCCGAGCAGCAAATGCCAAAACTAATGTGGTAAAAACGTTGCTGCAATGCCAATGGCAGTAATGCTGTGACAACATTTGTCACTTTTTGCAGGGTGATGATTCTTTAGAGGGGAATACTTATACCGGTAAAAATAATTTACACCATTTTTTCAAACAAATCCTGAAATCTCTGGAAAAGTCATTTCGTGGAGCAACAAATGCTACAGTCATAATTCACTGTTTTTTTTTTCACATTTTATCTGAACCAACTGTCTGGTTTCCTTTGTTTCAGGGCTTATGTGATAATCTACTGACTTGCATTATCAGAGCATGGGACACTTCAAAACCCCTTTTCTTCTGTCCAGCAATGAACACTCGAATGTACTTGCACCCTCTAACCGCGTCGCAGATTTTGCAGCTAGAATCTTGGGGCTACAAACAAATACCTTGCATCAGTAAGACTCTTATGTGTGGAGACACTGGAATTGGTGCAATGGCACCGGTAGACGTTATTGTCAACGATGTTGTTGTTAGCCTGAGCAATTGATTCATGAATTAATTTTAATTTCATAATCTATGGGAGAGGGGTTTTCTTCCCCTAGGTTTTTAATCAGGAATTTTAGATCCTAACTGGTGTTCTCATAGTTTTTTCAAACAGGTGTTGGTCTGAAATGAATGACTTAAAATGTTTTCTAATGGATAATAATAGTTTTATGCTTAAGTAAGATCAATAAATTTCTGTTGCAGCATTTTTCATGATAGAAACCACGAGTGTTTTCTTGTCTACCTACCTTCTTTTTTGCTATGTAATTTTGTTTAATACTATTCTATTTGCTGTATACTAAAGTATATGGCTATCTTAGACTGAGATCAAGCTGCCTTAATCTAAAAGATACTCATTTTTTTTTGTGAGTTTCTCACGATAACTTTTATATACGTACATTTTTGACCTTGAGGTCTTTTATTCAATTATTAGACCCTGGCTGTGGATCAATTCACTTCAAAATTCTACGAATCCACATTGAAAAGCTATTGCAGTAAGGTAGCTCTAAAATGACGGCTTGCTCTTTGATTTCAAGCAAAAGGACCAGGGAAATCAGAGTATAAGGAGGCACTAAATTTATTTATGATGATCGAATATTTACAGAAATTTAAAAGACTGCAAAATTGCTTTTGAAAAGATGTAAGAACTTCTCATTCTTTTAGGGATACTTGATTTTTGTTGAAAATAATCAGTGTTTTTATTTTTTCAAAATTTCTTCAATACACAATGGAAAAACAACATATACAGTGAAACTGCAGAAACATGTTTGTCGGTTTGCAACGTCGCAGACTTCCTGTCATACTTAATTTTTTAGATTGTAAAATGATCAGAAAACTTCCTTAATTTTTTTCCAAGTTTCAAATATTCTGTAAAAATGTTATAAGCAATAGCGTTAGCTTTGTTCTCTTTTGATAAAATTAAATGAGATCAGAGATTTTGAAACACTGCAAAGGAGATTTGTATTTCTGCAATTTCACTGTTGAAACATGTTGAAACAAACCTTGAGGCATTTTATCGCACAACAAGAAAAAATTAATATCCATTTCTTATCACAAGTAACACCTCCCTCTTCCTTCCAAATAATTAGAAACGAAGTCAGGAAAATTAGACAAAAAAATTAAACATACCTAAACAGGCTCGTACAGCTTATCATCATTTACGGTTAGTTTACTCCCTCAGTATAAATTCAAGGAGTGATGGATGAAAAATGCTACATGTTTACTTACACGTCACGTCAGAAAACTTGATAGTGTAGTGATGAAGAAAATTGCTGAAATCGTCAGTACAGAAATAAAATAAATATTTTTTCTTTTGTAAATTCGTGCATTACAGTACCTAAAACATCTTAAAATTCTGAAAGTCATTATTTTCGTATTAAATACATAATGCTCCATTTGGTTGCGGACTTGCGGACCTTTAAAATAACTCCGCTATTTCGAAATTCCCGCTGTATCGCTCGGATCGTTTTGAGAGCCAATGAGCGCAGTCGGGTCATTTTTATCAACAACCAATCAAGAACCTTCCTGGGTCAAAACAAAAACAAAGTATTTCGAGGTTGGGTTAGAAAAAGTCAAACACGCACGTGCATTTTCGCTTTTTTTCTCAAAGTATTTTAACTTGAATTCATATTATTTGTACTTTCGTTTTTCCATTCTGAAATTTCCTCCTAGTGCATTAAACGCTGTTGTCTGTCTCAATATTTTACAGCGACAAACCAATTTTCTCCAAAGATTGTACTACTGAAAGGCGATTTCTCTTCTCCTGTCAGGGTTGATCCAAATTTCAAGGATGTCGTGTCAAATTTGTCAGAAGTCCGAATCGAAGTACAAATGTCCAACCTGCAGAATAAATTAGTGAGTATCCACACCAACATTATTCTTCCAAGATATGAGAGACGTGCTACGGTCTGAGTCAACAAGTGAATACAAGAAGTACATCCCAAAAAAAAAATGGCTATGACAAGGCCAAATGAAAAATAATACAGCCAGGACGTTTCGGGCCAATTATATGCCCATTCACAACCGGATGGAAAGCTCAAAGTTAATACTAGAAGATACTTGGATGTTTAATCTTGCACCTATCATGTTACGTATATTAAGACACATCGTTGAGCTGTATTTCAAAAGTCCTGCTCCTATCTCACTGTCTCTAAGGGAGCGAGCCAATATCATTGTGTGACATGCTACAGAATATCGATGACCAAAGTTAGAAACCATGTACCTCCATTTTCATGCTACGAAACGTCAGCTCTTCTTGAATGTTTTGGCGAGAAACTAGCCAATCTCACAGCTCAAAATTTATAGGTAAGTTCAGAATATGATCTTTGTCACAGAGGAGAAAAATGAAATTTTGATGCATAGTTTACAAAGGAAGAAATGAAGCATGACAAGAAGTCTGCAGTGTTGCAAATGGAGGTACAGACTTTTGCACCTTGGCCATCGGTATGCATTCCTTAGTTGGTGAAGAAATTACAAACCTGTGAATATTTTTCTTCAAATTTTTAGAGAATTTTGTTCGAGATCAAATTAAATTACTTGAGAATTTCAATAGAAATTTTCATAATCCTCCTGTAAAATGAGAATTTTAACAGAGGAAATTTGGCAACTCTTGAATGTTCGTACAGTTCATACAGTCAGGAGACTAAAGCACTCATTTACCAAAAGAAATTCAACGTAATCAAGGCGTCGTTTTTTTTTTTTTTTTTAGAGAGAAAACTTCGCATTTGATCCTGCTATTAAAACTGCACTCGAATGCGATATTTTCTCTCTAAATAATCCACGCCTTTATTACGCTGAATTTCTTTGTTAAAATTGGTGAGTGCTGTAGTCTCCTGACAACAGAACTGCGATCTCAAATTTCAGAAAAATGACGAGTAGCTGAAAAAATGGAACCAATTGATGCGATCGCATGCCATTCTGGCATAAAATATGGCGCCCATTGAATCATCTTAATTGATTCATGCTTGTCAAGATTTTGGAAAATCTGAAATGCAATTTCAGTGCATTTCTGTCGGCCTCCCGTGGTGTAGTGGTTGTAGCGCTTGCTCTATGATCGGGAGGTCCCAGGTTTGATTCCTGGCCAGGCGACTCGAGTTTGATGGTCTCAAACAACGGTTACCTGGGGCTGGCTTAATTAGGGACTGAACGAGGAAGGGGTTCTAGGGACGGTGAAGCGCAGGATTATCCCTTGTGGGATATTTGATGCTTTAAAAAAAAAAAAAAAAAAATCGTCCCTACTTACTGACCCACTTCCGATGGTTTTATCTATGGTTGATTTTTCACAATTGCAGAATACCTTCAATCATTGTTTTTGAACTCAAATATTGATTTTCGCAGAATTTACCTCCAGTTGACCCATCTGACACCTTTATAACTATGTTCCTATTTTTTCAGTTGTTCTGGAGACTGTTGGAACGAGCATAAAACTACAAAATGCGAGCCTCCTCCTCAGCCAATGGAAGAATGTAAGAAGAGAACTGAGTACTTTTTTGAGACAGAAGACACTGTTCCCCTTGAAAAATTAGAATTATTAAGTAAGTATGGAAGTAAGTACTTACGTATAAGTTAAAATTGAATTTTAAATTCAGATGAAAAAATTGGATCATGAGCATCTCGTCCAAGATCTTGGACTCCATGCCCATCGCTGAACTGTTCACTTCTTTGCATGAGCATGAAGTCCAACCTTCCTCAGCCTTATTGTTCATCTGTCCTTCATCATAAAAGATAATTTCATACTTTTCTTTTTTAATTTCTCAAGCTAACCCAACCAAACCAATGCACAATTTTCTACAAGAATACATTCTTTTTGTATTTACTTCACCAAAATTGTCTTTATTCATTTTTGGGCTGTATGCTTGTCTAATGTCAAAGAATATATCCGCACCCTGCGATTTTGGCAGGGGCGGACTGGTAGGCGAAAAGTTAGGAGGAGACCTAAATGTAAGGGCCCCTCCTGTCGTTCGGGGGCCCCTCTAAGAAGGTCCCGGGGCCCTCCCCCGGTGTATTTTGAAAATTTCACACTTTTTAAACACGTAGGCATTGTTGGAGTTGGATTCTACAGTACTTGAACTTCAAAATAACCCATTCTCAGGATTCATCGGGGGTCCCTTCATCACAAACGCTTTTGGCGACCTTCCATGTCTCTTAGAGACAAATTTTCAAGGAATTCGGGGCCTTTTAGTGACTGAAAAGGATTAAAAAATTACAACATCACGGGAAAAAAACGATGAATCGAAAAAAAATTCGCCGCGGGGGCCCCTTCGGGACCTCCGCGGCAAATTATTAGGGGGCGATCGCCTCCCCGCCCCCATGGCCAGTCCGCCCCTGGATTTTGGACGCTATGCTACATTACCAAAAATCCTAAGTTTCTTACGAATCCATTTTTTATCAGTAGTTAACAATCACATTGTGGCACTCTGCATAATATGATGAAAAATTGTTGGTGAAAACCAATTATAAAAGAAGAAAATAAAACTATTTCAGAAGTCAAATTTAGGTATTGTAATTTTATAATTTTAGATTTGCAACATTAATTCTAATTTTAACTATGAGATTGATTTTTCTTTTACATGTAGCGTTCGAAGTTTCAAATATATCGTTTTAAAACCATCTGTATCAGCCACCTCAGTATGTGAGTGATTTCAGAAAAAGTTATGAAATTGCTACCAGGCCTTCTGGAGTTTGGCTGGCTTGAAAAAAAGAAGTGGCTTGTTCAAAATTCAGGCTAGGGAAAGCATTTTCAGATGTTAAGCATGGTGTCAAAGCTTACTAGCTAACAATAAAGAAGATAGTTTCCAACTATAGTCCCCCTGTCTTGCTCCCGCTTTATAACTTCCTCATTGGGTCAAGAACTTTCTTCTTTACCTACTGCATTGCTTTCTTTATGCATGTCGGCAACAACAAATGAATAAATCTTGCACTCAGTTCGCTTTTAATTTGAACAATGATCCTTGCCAACATGTTTCAGAAAAAAAACCAAAATTAAAACCAAAATAATCAGTGCTATTTTATTTGTTTCAGAGGGCAGTAAGAATCTGAGGAAAATACTGGAAAATCGGCACGTGCGTGATATGCTCACTGCCATTGACAAATCTCAAAATGCTACGGAAGCTATGAAAGCAGCAATGTTAGAGCCTATTTTTGTGGAATTTGCTGACGAGTGCTTGAAAATTGTTGAGCCTGAAACGGGGAGATCGTAATGTGAAAAGTGTTTTTTATCTTATAAGCTGACTGTGATCAAGGTAATTTTGCACCGCTCTGTTGAGTCTTTTCTTTCTTAAATTGTTTCTAAACCTTTCTTTTAAAGTTTTAATCCTGTTGAATCTACCTGTGACCAAAATTTTTATTATCATATTCATCTGGTGTATCAGCAGAAGTAAATAATCATCGAGACCGGTTGGATTACTTATGTTACATTTTTTTTTCCTTTGCTGGAATTGAACTTATTATATGATTTTTTTAAGTTTACTCCACTTTTTAATGGAAAAATTCCTCAAGTGTGCTGGTATCTTTGCTACCTGAGATATGAATATTCATTTTTAGCATATTATTCATTTTACCATTCTATATTCTTTAGTTTTCTCGCAATTGAAAATAATCTACATAATGGAATCTATTATGACCTTGAAAACTCGGAGGAAGTATCCAAAAGACTAATATGAGACGAATCTTATTATTCTGCCGCCTAAAATATGAAAGGGTATGAATAAAATAAAATTCCAAGAAAGTTCAGATTTGGTTGATCTATCATCAAGATAGACTCTTTATTTCTTTTATCTTAAATTTAGAATCACATGAGACAGAATTATGAACAAGATAAATTACATCTATTTACAATGGCTTTCCCCTATAACTCAATTCTGTTAGTATTCAGAGGGGAAGGTTTCGAAATAGTGTACACTTCTAAATCTCGAGGCAAACCAGCTCCATCAAGCTCGGCTGCCAGTTCAAAATATCGCTTTCTGACTAGATAAGCTGCTTCTTTCGGCTGTCTGTCTCTTGTAAACAGTCCTTTCTTATTCCCACTCACCCTTCTGACACCTGTAAAACAGAAAGGTAATCGTATTGAAGATTAATACTAATAAAACTCTGGATTAAGAAAAAAAATTGATAAGGTAATAAAGATTGTAGGCTGCGCCATGGAAACTAGTGGGCTAAGAATAAAATTTTTGACTGGCTTAGTCTATTGCTAAAAGGTTGAAACATAGTTAGGTACATTGACTCATTTGATTAACTTGGGTTCCCCAGAGCCAACGAATCTTTTTGGTAACCAATCTTTTGTCACCTACCAGCCAAAGTATCACAAGTGCCATGCAACGTTAAAAAATTTCGGCTGCCATCTTATTTTTTTACAGAGAAATTGTTCAACAAAGCTGTCTGAAAATTTTATTGCATTTTCTTTGTGCTGCGGATAAAATTCAGTGAAATTTTCTTACAGGTTCAACCAACAAATTCTCTGTAAAAAAATTAAATGGGTGCGGAAATTTTGAAACATCGCATGGCGCTTGTGATACTTTTGCAGGTACGTGACAATATGTATTTTACACAATAAATAAAGCTAGACCAAAGCATAGGTACACTCTGAGAAGTTGTCATGCTTTTTTAGTGCTTACCGAACATATAAAAATTTGTCTTTTGGACGAGTCGCCGAGTCAAATTCTGATTGTTAAAGCTCACAGATCAGCAATTGACAATTAAATCTGGTGATCGTTTTGTTTCAATGTCTATTATTAATGTACAATAAAACTTTGATTTAATGAATGTTGATTCAACGAATTCTTCAAATTACTGAACTTTTTTGCAGTCCACCAAAAATCTTTGACTTTTCAATACATATTAACTTCTAGGTTTTTCACATATTTCGGTTTCGGAAGGAAATCCTTGGTTCGATTGGTCGGACGATCTTTACCATGTAAATCGGTCTTGATTCGGTGAATGTACGGGAAAATCCGTTCGTTCGGCAACAATGATTTTTTGCTGGTCCCCAGAAATTTGTTGAATCAAAGTTCGACGTTGAGCACTTTCCTTGTAGAAAATTAAGTATGATAGGAAGTGTGCAAGGCTACAAACCAAGATACCTGTTCTGCAGATTCATCATCGATATGAAAAATGCTCTGCCATCTCGATTCGAATTAATTCGTTGAATAAATCAACTATATCAGATAATCATGATTTGCACAGAGTCAGTGAAACTATTTTTGCCTCTAATAATAATTTGTATAGCAGTCTAACATAACAAAACAAATTGATATACGCCACTCACTTTGTTCTGTCTCAAAGTCCGCAAAATTCCATATCATCTCTCCTACGTAAAAGGAGGAGTTCCTAAGATGGTCAAACGCTTTGAAATACTCTGCTATCAGCTCAGTTTGGTATCGTTCGGACCACACATGGACTGGCAACTGAAATCACAATTAATTTTTATTTACTTAATGACAAAATGAAACAAAAGTTGATATCAGGGCCAGAGTAGGCTCATAAGTGACTACTAAATGCATAGCCTTTGTATTCGATTTTAAAATCAGAAGTTCAATGGTAAAGGTAACGGTGATTGGTAATCTTTTTCAGAACATGCCATTTAAGAGTTTTATTTTTTAACTCAAAGTCAAAGGAAAGTCTTTGAGTACAAATGTGATGTGACAGAAGTGTAAAAAGAGAGACAACTGGATCCCCTCTGCCATTTTATGCTGGATACAGCTTTAGTTGCCCTGTTCAAAAATGACATTTAGATGTGATTCAATCAGTAAAAATATGAAGTTATCAGTGAAACTGAAAAGGCTGACAATGACTCATTTTTTCAAGCTCTCACCGTGTGAATCCCTCCAACACTGTCAGCTCCGTACTCTGTCATATAAACTGGTTTGTTGTGCTTTCTGTGCCAGTTTTGAGCCTCTGTAATTATTTTCTTTTTAATTTCATAGAGTTGACCAGTATTAGAGTACCATCCAATGTATCTGTTGAATCCAATGATGTCCAAGTGTTGGGCCTGAAAACAATTGGTAAAAAAAATCTTATTTTTTTTTCGGCATTTTTCATCTCATTGACTTCTAAACGGTCCACTGACTAGTTTAGAGGATGAAAATAAAAAAATATTAATGAGGAAATTGAAGTTTTGAACAGCATACTTTATGATATAGGTATCTCTTTTTTTTCAAAATGATCAAAAATGAATGATGAATTTTGATCAAAATGTATTTTGCAACCATGCAATATATTTTTAAACTTCAAAATTTTGAATACACCTCAAAAAAAAAAAAAACAAACAAACAAACCGAGGGAGGTTATCAGCCGAATGTTGTTCTATTTCTTATCATATTAGTATGTCACTATGTTAGTCATTTTTAGATCGAGATGATTTTCTTTCGATTAATAAATTTTAAAAAGACGTGCTTATTACCTTACTTACCTCATACTATCCTGGGGCAGTAATGCTCTCTCCTTACTTCAACAAGCTACCAAGTATGCCACTTATAATGATCCCCAAAACTGTATGATTTCAGTAATAAAATTTGGCATGCAAATTATTTTTGAATAGTTAACAAATTGGCAATAAAAAACTTTGGTATGTAATGAAAGTATATAAAAAATGTGTTAAACCATGATGGATTTGTTTCAACGTTTCTTGAAATGAAAATGAAAAAATAAAAATGCAATCAAACAAGCGAGTATTTAATTCCAGCCTTAACTACTTCTACACTTCAAATTATTCCAGTTAAAAAGAAAAAAAATCTCCATTTGGGTTATGTGAGCATGCAGCTACAAGTGAGCGTAGAAAATTTACAACAGCAGTTGCTAAGCATGGAGCCGATAATGTTAATATCTCAAAAACTGCAGTGAAAGGTGAGATTTATCAGGGAAGATGTAGTGCTCACCAGATTGTCAGTCTGCCAACTCTGTGCTATAGCAGCTGTTATAGGCCGTGTTTGATCTGTTTCTCTCACAAATTTTGTGACATTTCTAGAAAATAACCATCAAGATGTAACAAAGAAGGTTGTCAACTAAATTTCTGGTGCTATCGTTCATTCTTCTCCACAACAAGCAGAGAAGAATTTTTCTGATGTGTTCTCCTAACTTTTCATTGAAAGCTCATTTTTTTTCACGTTAGCTCTGTGACACGAGATGCCCCCTCAGCGGAGCTTTCATGAAAGCTTTCTCTCATGACCTCTATTTTTTTCATTTGCATTGCATTGCATTCTTTTTTTCCCCTTTTTTTCTTTTTTTTTAAAGGTAAATCTTGTCGAATATATCAGCAAAAGAAAAAAGTAAACTAATCTTTCATCTCTTAACTCCTAATATTTTAAGCCCCTATGGATTTTGTTGACATTGATGGTAGCAAAGAATTTTTAAGATGTAAAATTTTTCACAGTATTCTCTCTCATTCAGTATCTTCAGATTAAATAATCAGTGAGGAGGAAAAAATATAGGGTCCATTGCTGAGGGTATGCCTTTAATATTCAGGTGTGCTTTCAGATATTCTGAGCTTTGTTTTTAGCTTATCGTCGTATCTAAAAAATGATTAGGACGAAAGAAACTTTTCATTAGTGCATTTACTTACCGCCCTATCTTTTGTGTACCAACGATTAATTGCCGCTGTTATCGGCCTCGTTTTATCCAGGGTCTTTACAAATTTTGTTATGGATCTAAAATAACAATTTATCTCTGAGAATATCAGGTTAACACAAGTAGCTAATCACATAGAGAATTAAGTTTTGTAATTGACAGTGAACTCCTGTGAAGTATCAAAATCCATGCACCTTAATCTTATCTCATGAAACTAACAATAAGTTAGACTTTTTTTTTTATTTCTGGAAAGAATATAGGATTAGGATTTCATTTAGTTGATGAACATGGAAAGACAATTCATTCATACTTATTAATCAATAACTTAAATTGATAAAGAACGCATCGGGATCAGATTATAAAGGATCAGGATTTCTAGCTACCTGGAAAATCGGAAAAAGTCAGGGAATTTTTTTTTTGTGTCAGGAAAATCAGGAGAAACGTTAGGAAATCCTCAACAATTCGACATGTCAGGGAATTCTATTTTGCAAGCGATTTTCGTATCAGGGAAATCGAAAAACACAGATTATCCGGAAAATGTTTCACAAGTTTTACTCTTGCGGAGATTTCTACCAAAATTCTTCCTGGAATTTTCTGTTGATATCTTTTAAATTTTAAAAATGGGGCAAAAATTTCTCATAAGTTTAGGAACCATATATTTTGCTCTATTCATTCATTATATTCCCGAGACATGTAAAAATTCTTACTTACACTTAATCGGTTCAACCGTGTCGAATAATTAGGAATATTTTCCCATTTTGTAAGGGAAATTTCAGGGCATTATTTTTTCTGTCCGTCAGGGAATTTTAAATTTTCTCCCTTTTTTTGCCGGTTTTGTCAGAAAAATCAGAAATGTCAAGGAATTTTTGTTTTGAACATTGCCAGATACCCTGATTTAGTTGATGGACATGGAAAACAATTCATCCACACTTATCAATCGACATCAGATCATAGAAGATGTACCGGTTACTTTCAAAGGGAAATTTTCAACTGATACTCATTTTCGTGTCAATTTATTTGTATCGTCTCATTAACTTCGCATCCTTCTCTTCACACATGTATACACTGCTGTTTTTTTTTTTTTTTTTTTTTTTTTTTTTTTTTTTTTTTTCTTTTTCGAGGGGGTGTTTTGGAATCAAAATGCAGATCGAATCTTAAAGATTTCAATTTACCTGAAATAAGCGTCGGCTTTTTGATCGCTGCTTTGGGGTTCATTCGTTACTGACCACATTATTACACTTGGTCTATTTTTATCTCTTTGGATAAGTTCTCTGAGCGACTCCTTGTGTTTCGTCAGTAAAACATCCGAGAAGAAACTGTGAAGTTAAAAATATTAATTCCTGTTATAATTTTTATGACAAAATGGTTTTTAAGTACTTAGAATTATGAGGTACAATTAGAGCGCCCTCAGTGGACTGCGTTAAACAGAAAGGAACCAAGCCACATCAGCTATTGCCAAATTTACCAGGGCAATTTAATTTTTTACATCAAACGGTTGTGCGGATTTTCGTGCAAATTTTAGTGAAAATTTGCCATGGTACGAAGCAAATTCCTTAAAATTTTCAAAGAAATCCGAACAAACGTTCGTCTCTCGTAAAAAAAAGTAATTGCTCAGTTAAACCTGCGGCAATAGGTGATATGGCTTGATTCCTTTCTGTTAAACTCGGTCCAGTTGTTGGTGTCGAATGCGACGAACACGACATATGTATTTCAACCCAAAGTCTGAATGCAACTGTTCGGGCTCCAGGGATGTCCGCGTTGCATATGCACGGAAATGAAGGCGTTTTGACTTTCGGAAGAAAATTGTTTCCCTCATGAAGTGTCCATGAAACGACTTAAGCGCATTTGAAACGGTGGTAAAGAATCGATTTTCAGTGTGTTCGTTGAGAATATCCAGATTATCGATCCTTTTTCAAATTTTGAAACCACCGATCAATCGATTTATCCAGAAGCGCGACACGCCGCTCGCCGCTACTGGCTGTTGACCTAATAACGACCAATGGATTACATTTTGCCATGAGGAACCACAATCTCTGGCTCTCGCATAAAATCACATATCTGCATAGGGACATGAATTGAATGAATGTTGCTTCTAAAATATAATGGGAATTAGTGTTTTCTTGCGGATAGTGGTTAGGAAATAGTGGTTTCTTATTGCAAAATATAAGCCAAATGCGGCTACTAGGTCAGCAGCCAGTAGTGGCGTGTCGCACTTCGAGATAAATCGATTGATCTGCAGTTTAAACATTTGAAAAAAGGATCGATAATCAGGGTATTCTCGACGAACACCTTAAAAATCGATTCTTTACCACAGTTTCAAATGGTGAAATCGTCACCTTCCAGGCAAAGTATCACAAGCGCCATGCGACGTTTAAAAATTTCCGCCGCCATTATATTTTTTTACAGAGAAATTGTTCAACGAAGCTGTCCAAAAATTTCACTGAATTTTCTTTGTGCTGCCGATAAAATTTAGTGAAATTTCCAAACAGATTCAACCAACAATTTCTCAGTAAAGAAATAAAATGGCGGCGGAAATTTTTAAACGTCGCATGGCGCTTGTGATACTTTGCCTGGAAGGTGACGAAATATCGATAGTCGATGGCATTTGTTTCGCCACTGGACGCAGACCACATTCCACGAGAAAAAGAGAAGAACGCAGTAAGTTTTCACCAATGTATTCACCAGACTTTTTTGTGCTCTAGTTCCGTAAATACACCCAGGAAATTATGTAGGTACGTGTATTTAGGTTTGTGATGTTACAGATTTCCTGTCGCATTTCATTTTTTCGAAAGACGAATGGTCATCGTCTCCGTTCCGAAATCCGTGCGATTTATCAGGATTTGTCTCCGAAAATTTCTCATTCAAACGTCAAGATTAGGTTTCCTGAAGGGGGAAAAAATATCCAAGCAATGGACAACTCGTTAAAGTAGAGATTAAAAGAAACTCTCAAAATCATTTCCAGATACCTAATTTATGCGATGTCGAGGACCGGCAAAGTTATTATACATTTAAGCAATGCATTTCCTCAAACATTGACAGTGTCGAAATAAAAACCAGTTAAAGTTTACTTAATCGGCACAGTAGGCGACGCTGGAATTAATGAGGGTGTAAGAGGAACAACGAAAAGCTTCAGTTTGTGTCACACGCTACGGATACTGAACGAATTCCGTTATAACGCCTGGATGCGCAACTATTCGGGCTCCATGGATGTCCGGGTTGCATACCTACGGAAGGGAAGGCGTTTAGACTTAACAGACATTTACCGCTTCATTCGTGGTGCCTGCGACGCCGCCGGGCTCTCTGCGAGGAGCTAAAATGACGGAGTACTCTCAATAATTCTAAACTTTACTTCAAAGATATCTAATTGGCATGATGAGTCGCTCTGCAAATCATCCTCAGCACATCACGTTATCAAAAGTGAAGCGCAAAAGATACTCACATCCTACGCCTAGATGCAACTATTCGCGCCTAGGAAATATCTTTGTTCAAGGAACAACAATTGGACGTATTTATGTTAAAAGGAACTATGTGCATAGGGTTTGTATGAGACATAGTTCCATTCGGTATAAATACGTTCAATTATTAGAAATGCTCCGTCAGTTTGGATCTCGTCCGTAAAGCCTAGCTGTCATCGGCGCTGCGTCGCCACGTGTGAGCGGTGAGTGCCTGGACGGTCAAAATGCCTTCACTCTCGTGCATATGCAACACCATGGTTTCTACTGATCCGGAAATAGGACTGATTTTTTGCGGGCGGTACGGAAGAACTGAAAAATCACGGTATTTCCCTAGAAAGGTCCGGAATTTTTTGCTTAAAAAAAATGCTTAATATTTGCCAGCGAGTTTTAAAAAACATTCTATTCATGCGACACAAGAATCCCGTATTCCGAAATGAAAAATCGGCAGTATCGAAAACGCCTTCAGTTGCGGCGTGATACCTCACGCATTCTGGAGAGTTCGAATAGTTCTATCAATGCGCCTGAGCGATGCGACGGAAGATTCATATTAAAGTAGCCTCCGCGCCGGCCTTGTCTGTTTTCTTTCGCCGCTATTGCAGTTTTGACCGAATAGTTTACGTGTGCTCAAACTGGGATCGTATTTAACAAATTCTAAATTCTTATAGATGAATCAAAAATAAACAAGGAGTAAAAAATATAATGAAAGAATAGGAAGTCAAATCAACAATCAACTTAATGATACCGGAAAAGTACTAAATTTTTCTGTTTATGAGGCATTGCATTTTTTGGAAAGGTTCTAAAAACGTACTTCAAAAATGCTTAAAATTTGCCAGACGGTTTTTATAAACATTAGGACACAAGTATCCCGTATTCCGAAATGGAAAAATTGGCAGCTTTGACTTTGCTGATCTTTATAATGATCTTTATGCATAAGAATGATATCTTATGACAAAGTTTCGAAATTAACTTTGCAGTGAAGGGAATGATTTATCTGATGCAGCAGCTCATAACTGGGGAAGTATTTTTGCGTATTTGTGACACTTATCACAAAGTTTTCATAATTTTATTCATAATTTATCCTCTTCCATCATGAAAAATTAAAAACTCCGTCCTACGAAGTAAAACAAAGACGCCTAAACTTTGCACCTGTATAGTTTTCCAGACAAAATGCACTAATACGGGTCTTCAGGTACGTTGTTCACCAAAAATAACATCAAAAATGAATTCTACGCGAAAAATTACATGAGATATGTGGTACATAATCGATCAAATGACCAGGAATATTCGTTATCCTCGTAACATTGGAAGCGCAACGCTCCATGACCGACCTCTCCCATTGACTCGATCCACCGTGCGGCGTTTCAAAGCCGAGTGTGCTCCTTTGACGTGCCGCATCTGAACAATGAGTGCGAGAGAGAAAACGGACAAAACAGCGTATGGACCAATCCAAGGTGAGCCTTAGTCCCCGTTTACGGCCGTTCTTTCCAGGGCTCATGGTCGGAAAGCACTCCGGTGTTTTTTCGGGGCAACCGGATTCGGGATCGGCACTACCACCGCGGACCAAATTACGAGGCCCAGCCTGTATTTTTGCGAGTGTGTGTGTGTCCCTTTGACGAGGCGCGGGTTGCCGCATCTGATCAATGAGTGGGAGAGAGATAGACGACAATTGGGGCGGCGTTTCAAAGCCGAGTGTGCTCCTTTGACGTGCCGCATCTGAGCAATGAGTGCGAGAGAGAGAACGGACAAAACAGCGTATGGACCAATCCAAGTTGAGCCTTAGTCCCCGTTTACGGCCGTTCTTTCCAGGGCTCATGGTCGGAAAGCACTCCGGTGTTTTTTCGGGGCAACCGGATTCGGGATCGGCACTACCACCGCGGACCAAATTACGAGGCCCAGCCTGTATTTTTGCGAGTGTGTGTGTGTCCCTTTGACGAGGCGCGGGTTGCCGCATCTGATCAATGAGTGGGAGAGAGATAGACGACAATTGGGGCGGCGTTTCAAAGCCGAGTGTGCTCCTTTGACGTGCCGCATCTGAGCAATGAGTGCGAGAGAGAGAACGGACAAAACAGCGTATGGACCAATCCAAGTTGAGCCTTAGTCCCCGTTTACGGCCGTTCTTTCCAGGGCTCATGGTCGGAAAGCACTCCGGTGTTTTTTCGGGGCAACCGGATTCGGGATCGGCACTACCACCGCGGACCAAATTACGAGGCCCAGCCTGTATTTTTGCGAGTGTGTGTGTGTCCCTTTGACGAGGCGCGGGTTGCCGCATCTGATCAATGAGTGGGAGAGAGATAGACGACAATTGGGGCGGCGTTTCAAAGCCGAGTGTGCTCCTTTGACGTGCCGCATCTGAGCAATGAGTGCGAGAGAGAGAACGGACAAAACAGCGTATGGACCAATCCAAGTTGAGCCTTAGTCCCCGTTTACGGCCGTTCTTTCCAGGGCTCATGGTCGGAAAGCACTCCGGTGTTTTTTCGGGGCAACCGGATTCGGGATCGGCACTACCACCGCGGACCAAATTACGAGGCCCAGCCTGTATTTTTGCGAGTGTGTGTGTGTCCCTTTGACGAGGCGCGGGTTGCCGCATCTGATCAATGAGTGGGAGAGAGATAGACGACAATTGGGGCGGCGTTTCAAAGCCGAGTGTGCTCCTTTGACGTGCCGCATCTGAGCAATGAGTGCGAGAGAGAGAACGGACAAAACAGCGTATGGACCAATCCAAGTTGAGCCTTAGTCCCCGTTTACGGCCGTTCTTTCCAGGGCTCATGGTCGGAAAGCACTCCGGTGTTTTTTCGGGGCAACCGGATTCGGGATCGGCACTACCACCGCGGACCAAATTACGAGGCCCAGCCTGTATTTTT